TAAATATAGATGGAACTGTTACGACCACTTTGCAGAGGGAACATTGATGAAATATACTGAGGGTCAAAAGAAAGTGTACGAATTTGTTTTTTGATGTAATTGAAAGGGCAGATGTTCAATGTGATTGTCTGTCTAACTATCACTCATTCCTGCAACAGATGGTAAAAAGTAATCTGTGGCTTGGTAATTGTGTGTAAAACGAAATTGGTTCAATGAGGACTGCGGTCAGAAATGAATTTGCAACCACTTGACCCATACCAGGTTTTAAGTGCAAATTGGTGCCGAACTGAACATAGTTTCAACTGGAAATGAAACATATGATAAAATCAATTTAAAGCAGTAATTCATTTTGCTCTTCAGTGTATTTTCAATGTGTGGTGAGATATGTCTACACTTTAAGATATTGCATGGAGATATGTTCTGATCAAAGTGTGATTAATCAAACCTATTTTTTCATTCTCAGCATGAAGTGTCTTATCATTGTAAGCATTAATAGTTATTTCTTTGTAAAAGATGCTTGTTTTGCCTTCCATCTAGATGGTTCTAAGGTTTTAAGCGGCGTATCCACTGAATGAACCCCAGGCAACAGCATACTGCTTTATGAAGTCGTTGTAAATTTGAGTGAGATTGGTGGCGTAACAGTGGCGTAAAATCATACTCACTCACTGTATTCCTCCATCAACTATTTCCTCAGAGACAGCACGTGCCAGAGTTGATGACATACCAGACAAGAAACACTATTTCTATTAGAAATGTACTTTTAGTAAATTGGCTAATGTGTTTCCCCTGAAAGAAAGGAAGCCAAAGATTGGTCACCAACGTGAATATGAAACGTGAAGCATGGTTTGAAATGCTTTTCAATTTGCCAATGTAATATATTGCCTTATGATAGAATTCCTGTCATTAAAGTCACGATTTGTGGTTGGTCAAGGAAGGGAACTTCTGGTTGTGTCTTATGATGTTTTCTTTAAGAAGGAAATAAACACTAAATAGAGGGGCAGATAGGATATAACCTTGATGAACTCCCCGAAACTGATTGGAGTGATCAGACAGGTTTGACTCGTACTTAGGAATATCAAGATCATCATAACTCAGTATCTCGTATATAACGTCAACAGTTTAATGCTGCCTGGCATCTCCTGCCTGGGGACGAAATGCCAATGGAATCATCATCACTCTGCCACCGCCAAATATGTTGACACACCGTAAGCTGTTGGCGGCAAAACGGTCATGGTGTAGCGGTACACCCTGACTCTCCCACCTGGTCTATGCAGCATAAATTTGACTCGTCGCTGAAGCAAACAGTTCACATTCGCTGATGAGGGCCCTGCTCTGGTGCTTCACACCACTGGCATGTGAACATGCTGAACATGTTGCATCAAATCAACACCAGACGTGCCCGTTAAGATCCGGGGTGAAAATAGGTCTCCAGCAACCAATGCTTGCCGTAGAAGGCGACTATGCTTGTCGTAAGAGGCGACTAACGGGATCGGGTGGTCAGGCTCGCTCACTTGGTTGATGCATGTCATCGTATCCCAATTGCGTGGATCGATGCTCATGAGATCAATCACTGGATTGTCTGGTCCGCCGTCATATAGCTGGAATATTGCTGAGTGCGGCGTTAAACAACAAACAAACGAACGAACAAACAACACCAGACGGGCCGTAGTCTGACTCTGAGACCTGCATCCGTACTGTCTCGGGATCATTGGTAATTCTGGAACTGATACTGACACAGCCGTATGAAGCGGTCCTAGGCAGCCGTTTTCACACAGGATCGGCCTGACCTATGTCGGTCACGTGACGTGCGCCATGCTGTTGGTACTGTGACCAAGTCTGGAGATGGTGCTCTAGGACATATTGAATGCTCCTGCATCCAGTCGTCTGACACTGTTCCGTTATTCTACGGTTAAGCGTAGCATGACTTCGTAGTTGAATAGTAGGACTAGCAAATAGTGTGTGGCATTATGGCTGAAACGGTTACCCGAGTCAATTATGATTACAATGGTGATAAGCTACCGCTCAACTGTGGCAATTCTTCAAACTGTCAGAAGATAAACAAATTTTTTAAAATAGATACAAAAGTTTCAGTAGCTCACCGAGTACTCCTTAGAGACACCATATAACTGGGGTCTTACAAAGGTTCAGCCCCAAAGGCCTTGTAGTTTGAGAGATGTCGGAAATGTAACCACTGATGACGGACGGACAACGCGCCACGACAAAAGTATATTTCAGATTCAGTCACTTGATCGATCATAAGCTAAACACCGAATGCAAGATCTGCTCCATTCAACTTTAGTTAAAGGATGGCACAACATCTAAAATGAGGAACTACCTGAAATGGTTTTACTTAAAAGGTAGATTCATCTGCCTTTATGGTGATTTTACTAACAAGGAAGATTCTACTGGCTTTGTAATGGTTTTACTAAAAAGGAAGATTCTACTAGCTTTCTGATAGTTTTACTAAAAAGGTAGATTTTACTGGCCTTATAATGGTCTTACTATTAAAGTAAATATTTACTGGCTTCATAATGGTTTTACTAAAAAGGTAGATTTTACTGGCTTTATAATGGTTTTACTATAAAGGTAGATTTTACTGGCTTTCTAATAGTTTTACTAAAAGGTAGATTTTACTTGCTCTATAATGGTTTTACTATAAAGGCAGAATTTAATGGCTTCATAATGGTTTTACTTTTGGGGGTAGATTTTACTGGGTTTATAATGGTCTTACTAATAGTTTTACTAAAAAGTAGATTTTACTGGCTTTCTAATAGTTTTACTAAAAAGTAGATTTAATGGCTCCATAATGGTTTTACTATAAAGGCAGATTTTAGTGGCTTTATAATGGTTTTACTGTTGAGGGTAGATTTAACTGGGGTTTTAAGGGTCTTACTAATAGTTTTACTAATAGGTATATTTTACTGGGTTTATAATGATCTTACTAATAGTTTTACTAATAGGTATATTTTACTGGGTTTATGATGGTCTTACTAATAGTTATTCTAATAGGTAGATTTTACTGGGTTTATAATGGTCTTCTTAAATAGGTAGATTTTACTGGGTTTATAATGGTCTTACTAATAGGTAGATTTTACTGTTTGTAACATAGTTTTATTATAAAGGTAGATTTTACTGGCTTATAACAAGCTGGAAGATTTTATTCAGTCTCAAACACCACTCTTACTGTGAAAAATACTTCCAAATTATCCCCTGAAAGTGTGAGTCGCTGACAAAGTACAGCTGCTAGAAGAAATTGAAACACCATTCACTAATGAGTGAGTTAGTTATGTTTAACGCCGCTTTTAACAGTATTCCAGTTTTATCACGGTGGGTTTCGGCTTAATGTGGGAGGAAACCCCAAAGTGATGCAGGTCTCAGACGTTTATCACGAAACCATGAAACCCATGAGCACGGTGCTGACAGACCTAGAAACATAATCGGGGCGAACCGGGATTCGAACCCACAATCATAGGTTTCTGGTGTGCCCAAGGGACGCAACTCTGCACAGCGAATCGCGTCGCTTGGACGACTGGGCCACCCGTGCCCCTCATTCGCAAATGAACAAACTTAACCTCATTTTCTGTCTGACGAATGGCCTGTTAGTAGATTGATCAATTGTGTTTTCGATGCATCAACAATATATAAGTTTTCCCTGTAAACTATTTTAATGAACACGTTGCTGAAAATATAAGCAAAATAGTTAAGATTTGTTGAGATGTATGCACATTTCCCGTGACGTTATGCCTCTGCATTTGCACACAGGATAGAACAAGATCTCGAACGATGCGGTCCCGGTTGCGAACGCCATTCAAATTGCTATTAACAATGTTGAGTTGTGCTTCTTCCATGAGTTGTGATGCCATCCCATGCCGTGACACTTCCAACCCCAAACTGACGATGTTGAGTTACGAAAACAACGTTCACGTTGACGTCTGTGGACCCTTGCATGACGACCAGAGCTGTCCAGATGAAACCTGGACTCATCTGTCTTGTATTTTGAACCTGAGATACTGTCTTCATCAAGCTAGGCATGCCTGACGGTGATGTGCAAGCAAAATTGGGTTGGTTGGTTTGTTGTTTAACGCCACGCTCAGCAATATTCCAGCTATATGACGGCGGTCTGTAAATAATCGAGTCTGGACCAGTGATTAATATCATGAGCTTCGATCCACGCAATTGGGATTGATGACGTGTATTAAACAAATCAGCGAGCCTGACTACCCGATCCCGTTAGTCGCCTTTCACGACAAGCATAGTCCCCTTTTATGGCAAGCATGGGTTGCTGAAGACCTATTCTACCCCGGAATCTTCACGGGTGAGCAAAATTGGGCTTATCGATGGACGTCGGGGCCTCAACCAGTTGCGTACGGCAAAATTCTTTTTCAGGAACATCCAGGTCCTGCCATTGCCCTTAGGTCTCCAGATTTAAACCCATTCGAACATTTATGGGATGCACTGGATCAACGACTGCGAATACGTCAGCAACAACCACATAACCTCCAACAGTTGGCACAAGCACTACAAGAAGTGTGGGTGAACATTCCCCAGGCCACAATTCGGGATCTGATTGCTTCCATGGGAAGACGATGCCAGTCAGTTTTGGGCTCTAATGGTGACCTACAAGATATTGAGAACAATTGCCTTCACCTTGAAAAGAAAATCTACTGTTCCACGTGTGCCACATGGGTCAATGAGAATGATGTGTGGCCATTTTGAACAATTGATTGCCATCTGTTGATTATTTATAGGTTATACAAAATATACTTCTAAAATCACTTATATACACTCTGCAAAAAAAGAAATGTATATCTCATTGCTTGATTTTCATGGAGCTGGTGGTGTCCTGAGCTCTCCTTGTACATATCACTGCCAAAACAAGGACACCAGTACCATACCATTGGAACTCTTCTTCAGATAGACGGAGCCAAGGACCTGTTAATGTTGGCTGGCTCCACCCGACTGCGATCTCATTTCCTGAGACATGACAACAAGACAAGTTCGATGTCAGAAATTTTCGTTTATTACGACCTTCAGTTGTGTGTGGAGAGCCACCTGCAAAATGCCATCACAATATGTAAAAGGTGAAATTCACACAAACTGAAGCAAGGGTTTGCGCAGCCATTTCAGGCACCAACAGTAGTGAGCATGCCTCAAGGGACGTAACTCCAATACTAAGACGGCACCTGGGAGAACTTATTACACAGTTGTCTCCCCTGAGTGACCTGATCCTGAAATGACTGGGCATCAAATCATAATAATTTATCAAAGAATGAGATTCTTCGTAATAACACAGAGATTTTCTTTGCTTTATATACATACAGTGGCCTAGCTTTTCATGTACAAATAATTACAAATATTGGCATGTCTTAATTTTCCACACATATACAGTTAAAAATGGTCTGCGTCATGACAGGTTTTGTAAAATGGCTAAGTAAGTCCACTCAGAGCATATAAACAATATCACACATCGGACATAAGCATTAAATAGAAGAATATAGTACAAAGTCTGGCTACAATGGCCAGCAGCCCGGATGTATACAATCATAAATACATAATGAAAATGACTCTTGTATTTCTAGACATTGCTCCTAGAATAGGTAGACATAGAGTTGCTAAAATAAAATTTGTTATAAAAGCTTAACCTTAAATTCTACAAATCTACGTCAAAGAAAGAAAATGATGAATTTTTTTTTTTCACGGTCAATGTATGATCTTTTCTATTCAGCAACACGACCAGCACATTTTAGAGATGAACAGTTCAATTACATTGCCAATAGAGGAGCCAGCATTCTTTCATCAAGATCATCATGTCTTACCTGTTGGTTTACAGTCTTCTTGCACTCCCAATTGCAAAAATATTTCATAGATAATTAAACTTTAGTTTTGGCAAGTTCTTTTTAAAAAAAACCTTGTGAGTACAAAATAGATGACTTTAGCAGAGTTTCATCGCAACAATAAATACTCATATGATTTACAACATCTAAAATATTGAAATTAATCAGATATGGCAAAGATAAATTAGTTTCCAGCCTACATATTGTAACGTGTGATAATAAACTGAAGCATATTGCACAATCACAAATGTACATTCTTGAACATCAGGAGAGCAATTCTGGTTTATAAATAGACAGTCTAATCGACTTTCGTAAGTTTGTAGAGTAGCACCTGATATTAAATAAGATCAAGTTAAATTAAAGTTTCTTTTAAGTGACAACAATACTTGAACCATGATAAAAATTGAGACAATTTTAAATTAGTTTCTTTTAAGTGATAGAAAATACTTGATCCATTTCAAAACTGTGTCAAATTATTTGTTTAGTTATGTCAGTTATGAATCATTTCATCAAATCAAATTTACAGTATGTTTACAAAATAAATATTGATAAATGTGTACAGCTTTGAACTTCTTATGTACTGATCTTGATTTAAATATTTCTGACATTAAATCAAGGAACAGCACAAAATTTGATAAATAGAACCTCTGTTAAATAAGCTCAGTGAAATAAAATAGGAAAACTACATATTAAGGCAATCTTCTATATAGGCAATACACAGGGCATAGGAGGAGGAGTGACACTGGACATAACAAATTTCAGATATGGCCATCTCAAACATCTTTTGAGCTGAGACTATTACTAAACACTTGTGGGACTATATTTCTAGAAGTCTTGTATTCCAACCCAAATATCTAGCCTGAAACTAATGAGATGGACACCTCCGCTAAGTATCACAACAAATAGACGTCTGGAGGGAATTGGTTTTTCATGTGCAAAGTTAACCGTTCACAAAAGAAGAGATTCATCTGAAACAAATATGTCATTTGGATGGCCCTTTTGGTTGAGTGAACAAACTTTAAACCTCCGACTGACAACATGATAAATAGGTACGCTGGAATATCTTCAAATCATACAGGTATTAATAGCCAAATTGTCTTCTTGGGAGGTCAGGCTCGTCTCACCAAGAAACTTGTTATGAGTCTACACATGGTATAATGTATGAGTTCCGGCCATGACTATTACGAAGGAATATTACTGAAAACGGTGTAAAACCATACTCACTCACTCGACATCTCTGATTAAAGTTACTTCAATTTGCATGAAAGAACACGCCGTAACAATACAAGGCATTTTAATTCGCTTACAATTCATATCTCAAAAGATGCTTACTCATTTTCCTTCATACAGGTTTAAATAAGGAAACAGAACAGCTTACTCTCTGGAAAATGCAGACTTCTCATGTATATCCATGCCGAGGGATTGTATTCTCATTGCAACTCGTAAAGTTTGTTCACACATCCACTCAAGTCTTTTCCAGAAAAGCCTATAATAACTGGGGAGTGGAAACATATGAAAATATTCAAAAGTAGAAAATCTAATCATTTCTGGGCAATAGAGGAAGATCCTAAATGTAACCCAACCAATACTGTTTGTTGCTGATATTTTCATATTTTTCAATCTCATAAAAATCAGATCTTAGTTCTCACAACCGGTAAACCAAGATCTGAGGACATACCATTCTATTACAGGTCACATCAGAACAAGCTTTTTGCGAACTTTGACCAACATTGTCCAGTCAGCAAGCAGCCTTCTCAAGTTTTACAACACTAGTTTCAAACTGGTGACTTCCATTCCAGACTATGCTTTGAAAAATATTTTGACAGTTCTTGATTCCAAATTTGAAAAGTGAACAAAAGAAAATTCTGGAATGTTTCATAAATGCCTGAGCTTGTGTGGCAGGTCTTCCCACTGTATATGGAAGGTCTCTCGTTTTATTGAAGCGACAGGTAGATGATGATTTTGATGGAATCAATCGTACGACCTGTCGTTCGCAATACCACATGTCAACTTTTTTGAGGTTTGCATGATTAGAAAACACATTCTGATCTGAAAAGCAACAAATGTGATTGGTCGGATGAGAGGTCGTTCTGACGCGACCCATAATGGGATGTCCTCAGATCTTTGTTTTGCAGTACCAGGAACAAAGATCTGATTTTAATAAGATTGGATATTTTTTAATACATTTGTCACTGGGTACGTTTGAAACTTCAAACTCAACACAACTTTCTGATGCATCAAACCACTGTGTTTAATATCCTTGTGATTAAATCATGGAACTATTGTCTTCTATGCTACAAAGAAGGATGCAGTGACATTTACTGAGGTCATTTCTATGCTGAGCGAAATGTTATCACAATACAGATATAAACACTGCCAACAGAGACAACCTCACATTGGATATGAAGCATATATTAATCATTCACTTAATTATCTCAGCTCTCTCTGTACAAAACTAACCATACAATGTTCATTAATACGGCTCGTTGCTGGGAGAAGCATCATCTTGCCATAGTCTGGTTGCTAAAGATATGATATCATAATGACTAGAAGCATGATATCACCTTCCCAAACGATTCTGGTTGCTTAGCAACAAGATCCTTACATCTGGATTTATAGTCAATAATATTCTACACAGAAATGTGAACTATTGAAATAAAAATCATTAATATTCAAATGAATAGCAACTCGACTTGTTACTCCAAATAAATATTGAGGGGATATGTTTCTATATCAACGTGCACATGCCTTGACAGCTGAAATCAAATATTTTACATCTTGATGAGCAAACAAAAATGAACATATATGGAACAGATGGTTTTTTCCTACGAACAAGAGAGTAAAAAAACCTAAGAAATTTCCAAGACATTCTAAAAGATACAATGCCAAATGTCAGTGTCATTTTTACTTGCTTCAGAGATACATTGTAATGAATGCGACTACAGATAAAAATATGTCACATTTGACAACCATGGCAGGTATTCAAACAAATTTGACAAGTCTAAATCTCTCTATACCCTCAGAAATGAGAGATTGGCAATTTTTTTTATGATAAAATGCACTACAAAATCATGTGCTGTTATTGAAAAAAAATCCTTTTTTTTTTTAATTGAATAACTTTGCAGATGTTGCCACCTCACTGTGTTGCCCCTGATGATAAAAGAATATGATGATTATAACCTAATTGAGCAATTTACACGCCCACGGCAGGAGAGGCCTCGGAAACAGGCTGGTGATTAAACAGAGACCAACTGACTGGGATGTGATGATATGTCTGACCAGACACATAGCCACAGATGCACTACACACAAACACTTACCTGAAAAGTATACCACATACTTAGTTTGTAAAACTGTAACATAACAAGAATGGGAAACATTTCTTAAAAATCAAATGGATTTCAACAATAATATTATGCAATTGCATATTTAAGAACACTATCACCATATTATCAAATACACAAAAACAGTTTCAGTGATGTTTAGAGGACTCTGAAGAGCATGGAATACTTCAGGGAACAACTGAAAGGCTGAATGCCTGTAGCTTCCATTCAATATGAAAGAGCACAGGACAAGATTGACTAGTGAAACATGCTTTTGGTGTGATAGTTTGGTTGTCATGGCAACAATAAAACATCTGCCCTTCAACTTCACAATTATATGCTTTTGTTGAGAAGCCATCAACTGGTCCAAACCGCGATTATCCAGTGCTAGAATATGTGGTGCACATCATTGTTGCGCTTTACAATCATGAGGAATAGATTTTCATTGCTTGTGTATGGTCATCAATATTTCAACAGTGTCGTCTGGATTCTCAACATTGACATCAAAGGGTTTGAAAGACCTTGACCATACAAAAAGTCACTCCTGTCAGTCAAAACAGGGACTTAAAATCCACATATTATCTTGTCTTTCTCTAGCTGTAGTAGCAATATATTCCTGGTTCTTACAAGGAACACCTCGACATCAAAATGAAAAATCCAGAGAAATATTTGTGAAACTATTTCCCAAACAATTCAGTGTCACATGAATTTCTAAACAGAGGCATATGAGAAAGGAGTTGACAAGTTAAAAAATTAGGGCACAAAGACCTCACATTCAAGCACTAAATATATAATATTCTATTAAAAATAAACAAACAAATACATAGGGGTCATCTCAAAACCTCAAGGTTTGCCCAAGGGAATCCTAACACCAGGAACTTATTCATAAAGAAAGCAACACCTTAAATGCTTCCCTCGATTTCCACACTAAAGTTTGTTCATACCTGATGAAACTATACACATTAAAAGAGCATGTGCTGTTTTGAGATGATCCCTGCCAATGGTATGTATAACAGAGTAATATGGAGTAAAAGTATGGGGGCGGCAGGACTGAGTTCAAATACTGTATTATGACTTCACGAGCATGGTAGCCGTCTCCATGCTGGGCATCCAAACAAGTCCTTTGGTCACTTACATTTGGGCCACTCTCCTCTTGAGGTCAATCATTGACCTTGACAGTCAATCTGTTAAGATCACTGATTGACCTGATGTCCAACAGCGATCAATGGTCAATTATTGATCTTGACATCAGTCTATTGATAAGATCTGCCAGTGACCTCCAGTTACGACAACAGAAGATGGGACCTGATTGATGTCCTTTTTTATACTGTTCATCCATTAACCACAACATAGCCACAGAGAAAAAGCTGGAGTTAAATAAGTGTATTCCTGCAAAGATGCTTTCTTCAAAACTAGTTAAAAATTTGGTGTTAATCAACCAAAAAGTGGCATGTCTTTACAATGAATAGGTAAATATTGGTACTTTATAAGCACTCAAGGCCAATCAAATCAAGAATATTAATAACCGTGAAATACAAAATGTGCTGAAGAATTGAACAACTGATATTGGATGCTTGGCAATATTCTGCAGACTTACTAAGACAACCAACCCAGGCGTTTCCCGGGTTTCACTTCTAGTCTTAACAGCCAGACATAATATTTATGACTTACAACCATTTTCTAGAGGGAAGGGGGAAAAAGTACAATTTTAAAACACTATGTTGAATTGTTCTTATTCTGAATCTGGCCAACAAATTCAAACTTTGAAGTATGATTACAATAAGATGCAATCTACTCTAGTCACCAAGTGCCCAGCAAGTAACTTGCCATGTACACGAATATAAGGAAGAGATATAGAGGCTAACACTGGTCAAGACCAGAGAACAGGTGCTTGTACTTGGAGAGATGAGGTGCTGACATTGTGAGATGATAGTTTCCAGGCAAAAGTGAAGTTGCCAATGTATTACCTCTGTACAAACAAATATTGCGCTTACATATTGCAATTTTTATGAAGTACATTTAAGGAATAACACTAGGTAGAGTCATCTTTGTGGCCAATCAAAAACATGTGACTCTCTGAAGTCTTTTTGCCAGGGATTCACCTGTTTTGAAAAAACCCCTGAAAATCGTTTAAGAAAGAAAGTGGAAAAAATAGTTGCCTCCAGCTTTAAACCCCAAAATAAGATTTGTCACAGGACATGGTAGGTGATATGAACAAAATTTTAATTGGTTGCCCGTCCTATTGAACCCAAAAAGAAGTTGGTGTTTTAAAGCAGTGAATGAAATATATCCTGTCAAAATAAACAACCCAAAAACAGGCTCCCATCTCCCTCTCTGAATACATGTATAAGATGTTGAACATGCAGTTTTTCTGGTTTGGCTGTGAGAAAAATACATGTCTTTTTTTGGCTGCCGACCTCATCAGGTTGTCGAAATCTATATCTTCTACAACTTTCCCATGCTGTATGGACAGCCACAAGTTGTGATATTGCCATGAATCCACTGAATATTGAGTGAGTAGATAACAAGCCAGCTTGATTCTGAATATAATTAGTGTACAATGATTGACCACTCATTCTGTTAATACCTTCTTCTACTACATGTATGTGAGCAAAATAGGGGGGTAATTCACCGATGAAGCATGTACACATCCCCAAAAGAGATGATCCCTTGTATAGACGGGATCGGAGGTCTGCCAGCAGACTTGGTTGTCTTCCCATGGGCACAACAAACCCAATCCATCAATGTCCTATTCTTTGGTTTTTGCAGATTGACACCTTAAGAATGATTGACTGAAGAAAACTACCTCTGTGTAAATCTGGAGGAGGAAGGAGATTTGGTAAATGCTTGATATGCTTGTAGATGCTCAGATACATACGGCCGATCTATCAGGATTGTGTGGACACAGGTTCATGCAAGTCTAATTGTTTCTGAACACCATTGCTTCACCAAGCAACATGTTCTTGTTTGCTTGTGACTGAAGCAACTTGAAGCACAAACCATACAGATGGCAATATCTAGGGTAACTCGTCAGATGTAGTCAGTTGCCACTTGGAGTGCTCTGAAGTTTTTCAAATCTGAAAGAATCTCAAACAATGACCTGCCAACATCTGCAGAAACAATTCCCAACAAGCACCTGCTGCATAATCATAGTCAAGTACTATATGCATATGTCAGTGTAAGGTTATCAGCATCAAATCTGTCTTGCAGATCAACACAAGCAAGCATTGGTACACAGTACATGTACTCAATACAAAGCACCTGCACACTGGTCTCAACCTTTGCTTCTTAACCTCTTAAGGAACCATAAATTGTAAATCCATGGCATGCTCCCAGATGTTTCTACTGACAGTGGTGACATGTTGGGTGACTGAGAAGATTACTACAAAGTGATGACATATTGTCCTGTAACTGTAAGTGTACCTGGAGGCTGCTGAAACACATACAACTGAGTCTTAACCATCAACCGAAATATGAGAGATGAAATCTTAGTATCAGGCTACATGTTCAGAAGATATATAAAAAACCCATTATCATCCACAGTCAGACATTGTTATGTACAAAGCACAACAATTGAAAAGTATCAGTGAAATATGACTCAAGGTAAAAGAGCATGATAATTTTTTAAAAAGTAATATGATAATGTAAGTGACACATTTTCTAAAAATCAACATGTTCTAAAATGAATGATCCTTTTTTTTGTAAATGAAAAAAAAAACAAGTTGCATTTTAAAACAGCACCAAGCAGGCAGACTTTACACTAGAATAAGGGGAGCTAACTCAGGTGTACCAACCATGTTGTGCACGACGAGGACACAGTGAAATTGTCATAGAGTAAAGTGGGTCCAGCCCCATCCAGAACAACATACAACAATAAGCTGTAATACTCTGAAGAAATCCTAAACATCGTATAACACTAGAATTACCATGGTAAAATATGAAACGTAATCCTATTGTGAACCATTGAACACATATCAAGATGACTAGCCATGACGTCGTCACTGGCATAAACATTAAGAACACAGCTCAAAAGACGGTCACAAGACGGATAACGTACGTACGCTACAAGTTGGGAAGTTGTGAAAGACTTAGAATGCATCCCATGTAGGCTTACTTATGATGGATTGGGAATCGAGGGCAACGCACGGCACATGACAGGAAGGGAGTCTCCCTATCAACATCTGCCATGACACGTGATACATACGCATAACAAATGAAGAGGAACCCTTCCGAATGAAGAGCTTAGTTTGGTATAGGTGTATACAGTGGGTATCCCATTCTCCTACAGATTGACCTTGTACATATTTCCATACGTACATCGACAGAAAGGTTACAGAGGGTTACTATTTGCCTCAACATTTGATATTCATATGTATGATTATTCCTACATATGCACTGCATCGGATCTTAACCTAGACACATATGACCTTGACCTCACCCTTTGACATAGTACACATGTAACTTTGTCAGCAGGGACAGGATGACTTACACGTGAACAATCCTAAGTGATGATTACTACAGAGATTATGACATGATTGGAAATAATCAGATTTGTCTTGGTGTCCATCCATCTGTGTTTCTTGGTGAGGGAGATTTATGTAACACTGTTGTGGTATTCATTCCTCTGGAGCTGTATCCGATAACAGGTGCCTGTTGTCATCCAGAACACGAGATGTCTGCTCGTTTATATATCCACATAGACTTCCAATCTCATTTTCTGGATACTCCAACTATTTCGAATGACCTTGACACTTTTTGTCATGGTCATTACCACAGATGCTTTAGAAGGTCAAAGGTCATCCACGCAACCTTGACCTCCCATTTATCCTGGGATTTCATGCAGCAGGGAATAACATGTCCATATCGCTTGTCTGCAAGATATGAACACATCTCCTACTGGTTGATGAGACAAAGAAAAACAGTCTCTCTCTCCAAGCAAACTCCTGCCGAAAGAATGTTCCACACATTCAAGAACTGACTGTCCATTTGATGACATTATGCCTGATGGTCTACAATGTATAATGAAATATCTCAAGTCACATGATGAAATATATCCCATAATGCCTCATCTACATGTCACTGAAGTACCAGGATGTAAAAACTGCTACTAAAATCAGTATGATAGCGAAACTGGGTGGGCCACCTCCCTCTAGCTTCCGTTGCTATTCCGATGTTCAAGTGGCGCGCGTAAGTTCTCATTACTTGGGCTGTTCACGAGATCAGAGCCATACAGCTTGCTTGCCTTCTTGTTCATCGTGGCCATGATTTGAGCAGACGTCTTGTATGCAGTGATGATCTCATCCTTCCACTGGGTTATCAGCACACGGTCCTGGAAACCAAAGTTATTGTTCATTACCTATTGCTCATCTACAATCCATTTGTTTCAAACATTGTACTGCTACATCAGCTCCAAATTTGAAACAGTGAAAATCAGCTTGCATGTTTACTTTATTCTTGCCTTAAGGGCAGCTTGGTAAGAAAAGAAATGTAATTTATTTTTTGTTCCAGGTTGACAAGAAAAAACACTTGAAATTGTTGTGATTTTTAATTTGTTGGTAATACCAGCTATATGACGGACGTCTGTAAATAATCGAGTCAGGACCAGACAATCCAGTGATTGATATCATGAGCATCAATCCACGCAATTGGGATACAATGTCATGCATCAACCAAGTCAACGAGCCTGACCATGCGAGGAACTACGACAAGCATAGTTGCCTTTTACGGCAAGTATGAGTTGCTGAAGTGGTTAAGACTCTTATTGTTCATTTCATTGTAAAGCAACTTTGAATATTGGTCCATATTCAAACTGTATCACTGAATGGTGTTTTATGCCACCACTATACCAGGTACCGTATTTTCTTGAGTATAGTGCACATACAAGTTTAATGCGCACCCCACTCTAGCAGATCCAGTATTTTGGAGACAAAAAATTCAACTATTATGGGCAGAAAAAAATTACACCGTACCTCTTCAGTGAATTCCAGTAAACAAACGGGTGATAAGAAACTTGGTCAGTACAAATTTGAAATTTGAGATAAAAAAATCACCAGACATGTTGATTTACCATACAACTTGTATTTTTTGTTCTGCTAGGCATTGTTTTATGTCCAGGGATTAAGATTACCTTGTGTATTTTCTCGTAAACTAAGCCTGAAACAGCAATCAGCTGTACACACGTTTTCTTGGAATCTACCGATGATTCGGATAAAACTTACCCAATTATATAACTTTAAAGGATTTTGATGCAAGGATCGGGAAAAATTGTATCTGAAACTATTCTTTTATTAGGAAAATATATTCCAATCTCTTGTTATTCTAGTTGCAGCTTTTACTAAATATATTTAAAATAATAATAACCCTAACCCTAAGCGTAGCACTTCCGTGCAGCTGATCGCTATTGTCGGTTATTTTTTTTCACATGGAACAATTTGACCAGTCACCGTCTAGGCTCCCACGCACGTGATGTTGACATACAATCGTCAAACTACAACAAATATGACTTTTAACGAGTCAAAGTATGGCATTTGTGATATATGTATCCATTCTCTGTCAACTAAAGTTTGTTTCAAGGCGTCAATAGCAGTAATCTGACCGTGGTTGCTGTTAATAACGGTGAGTTGTGCGATCTTCCAATCGCTTCACACATGATTTCACCTAAATTAATTAAAACAATATTAAAAGGACTTTTGAATAAAATTAATGAAATAAGTTACAAACATAAGTCCAAATATACAATGAACACTTTTAATAACCAGACAGTGTAATTACATGATTAATTTGCGTACTTCAGTATGGATTTGTTGACATGGTATTTCCTGTGTTACTTGCTCACGGTAGTGTATTTACGTACAGGGGAAAAAACATCAAAACTCATTATGGCGTGCATAATGCGGACCCCCTTCTACACAGCTGTGAAAATAAATGTGCACTATACTCAAGAAAATACAGTATTTTGGTTGACTCAACACTGGGAACAGATTGGCTCCACAATACTCACTGGTGAGGTAATAATGATCTTCTGGTCATTCTTCAACTGCATCACAATACAGTTCTCCGTTTTGTTCAGTTTCTGAAAGTCGGGGTACACCTCCTTGATGTCAAACATGGACACAAGCTGCAACACAAAACAACCACAGTAATTCAGGGTCACCAACTGTTCCCACACCATCCCTCAGAATAGAACCCCAACACATGTCTTTCAGAACACTAGTCAGGAAACTGTTTAACATCTACTTCACAACATCGGATAGGGATATTCTGAGTGTGGGACCTGAATGTGTGTGATTGGCTGATTGGAGATGGTGTCATACAAATACATTCCCTTGTTGCCATGCAACTGGAGCATATTCAGCATCATTAAAGTTAATCAAACTAAGTGCACAAGTTGTTTGTTTGTTGTTTAGCGCCGCACTCAGCAATATTCCAGCTTCCGGCGGTCTGTAAATAATCGAGTCTGGACCAGACAATCCTGTGATTGACATCATCAGCATCTACGCAATTGGGATCGATGACATGCATTAACCAAGTCAGCGAGCCTGACCACCCGATCCCGTTAGTCGCTTCTTACCACAAGCATAGCCGTCTTTTAGGGCCAGCATGGGTTGCTAAAGACCTCATCCACCCCGGATCTTCACAGGTAAGTACACAAGTGCACCAGTTGCTGACCTCTTGTTACGTGACAGTATGAAATAGGCCAGTATCCCTCTCAAATATTGAGTAGTATAGCACACCCCTCTGTCTAACTCAACCCTTGTCATTAGATCTCTTGCATATTAAAAAAAACTATGTAACATCTTATCTTTATATACTGGTGTACATAACTGATCCTTGATCCTCTGATCACTTGGTGAATTGTTACAGTTTCCCATAATGCATATAATTACCCTAATGCAGAACAAACACTACTAACCTCTACCCCTTTGCTACGGACAACCTGGCTGTCACGATTTTTGTGGTAGAACTCGAGTCTGTTGGGGTAGAGCTTCAGGTGCTTCTTCTGCCAAGTCTGCAGGAACGGCCCTCCCAACTTGAGAACCTCACCCTCCACGATACAGTCTGTCGGGCCTGCTGCAACAGGGGCACTCACTTAGATACACAGACATAAAACGCTTCCCTCAAACAAATGGCTGAACAGAATAATAACCTACAAAAACATTCATTATTATTATTATTATTATTATCATTATTCGTGATTGTCACAAGGCTCCATTGATCCTAACGCCCTCCTTACCGGCATCAATGTCATCAATCTTGGGTTTCTGTTTCCTCTTCTGCTCGATCTTGTCTGTGTCCCCGTTAATGGCGTCGAAGACCGTTTCCGCCACCTCCTGTTGCCAGCGCTCGGACACGACCAGCGGGAAATTCTGGTACAGGCCCTGGTCAGCCTCGGTCAGCTGAAAAGGTCAAGGTCAGGTATCAGTGTACAATGTGAGATTCATTCAAAGCTCATTACATCCAGATAAATAAAAGTTAACCCATAAAATATTCCTTATAACATCAAAAATATGTTTCCCCATAAACTGAACAATACAGCCAAAACATATCAGAGTGGAAATTATATTCCATTTAACACTTCGGTGAAACCCATGAACACAGGCACGTTGCTGACAAAGGACCATTATAAGGACAAACCTGAGATTCAAACACAAACTACAGATCTTGACAGCAAAGGGAGACAACTATTCACAGCAAGTCAATATAAAAATGTTTACAGGGAGCCGCTCAGAGATACAGTTACTGCAGCTACTTAAAGACAGTCAGTGAGTCATACTGAAAGGCATGAGGACTGGAATCCACCTTCTGCGCATGTCAGCAGTACAATATGTGATTAAACTTGCCTCAAAAGAAACAATGTGTCCCAGAAAACATTGCATTGCTTGGTGTATTTGTCACCCAGACCATACACCCACGTTCCATGTTTGCTTCCAGGGCCCCCTTCTACCTGTGTGTTTCTCTCCTTGAAGCCCAAACACCCACATTCCATGTTTGCTTCCCCCTAGGGCCCCCTTCTCCCTGTCTGTTTCTCTCCTTGATGCCCACACACCCACGTTCCATGTTTGCCTACAGGGCCCCCTTCTCCCTGTCTGTTTCTCTCCTTGATGCCCATACACCCAAGTTCCATGTTTGCTTCCAGGGTCCCCTTCTCCCTGTGTGTTTTTCACTTTGATGCCCATACACCCACGTTCCATGTTTGCTTCCAGGGCCCCCTTCTACCTGTGTGTTTCTCTCCTTGAAGCCCAAACACCCACGTTCCATGTTTGCTTCCCCCTAGGGCCCCCTTCTCCCTGTCTGTTTCTCTCCTTGATGCCCATACACCCAAGTTCCATGTTTGCTTCCAGGGCCCCCTTCTACCTGTGTGTTTCTCACCTTGATGCCCATACACCCAAGTTCCATGTTTGCCTACAGGGCCCCCTTCTCCCTGTGTGTTTCTCACCTTGATGCCCACACACCCCAGCTCAATGTTTGCTTCCAGGGCCCCCTTCTCCCTTTGTTTTTTTCACCTTGATGCCCATACACCCAAGTTCCATGTTTGCCTACAGGGCCCCCTTCTCCCTGTGTGTTTTTCACCTTGATGCCCACACACCCACGTTCCATGTTTGCTTCCAGGGCCCCCTTCTCCCTGTGTGTTTTTCACCTTGATGCCCATACACCCACGTTCCATGTTTGCCTCCAGGCCCCCTTCTCCCTGTGTGTTTTTCACCTTGATGCCCATACACCCACGTTCCATGTTTGCCTCCAGGCCCCCTTCTCCCTGTGTGTTTCTCACCTTGATGCCCTTGGTGTCCTCTTCATCAAAGGATCCAATGTCGAATGCGTCGGCAGCGTTGACCTCCCCTTTCGGTGGTATGAGGGGTGGTGGGTACTTCTGCAGATACACCTGGGTCCAGTCAATACCCTTGAAGAAGGGGTGTTCCTTCACCTCTTGGGCCCTGCAATACAATTCATTTTCATTATTATCCCACGCTTCACATAATTATATAGTCATACTTCCACCCACTTAAGACGAGCAGCCGATATTCTTATCCAGATATGAATATTTGTAATTGTCCAGCTGTTGGGCCAATGATCAGGTGCAGTGATTCATGACAAAATATGTTCAGTCATTCTGTCCCAGGAATCTCGTTGTGCAACGATGCAAGAGTTACCTCCCTTAGGATGGACAGTGACACTGACATATTGTCTATGAATTGTTGCATATAACATAATCCTTGAATTTGCCTTTATAAAGTTAGTGAGTGAACTGGGTTTAAAGCCATACAGATATATATATATATCAAGAGCCTTGAGCGAGTGGGTATAGTTTTACACCAATTATAGTAATATTACTGCAAGTGACGCCAGAAATGGACTTTACACATTTTACCCATGTGGGAAATCAAATTTGGCATGATGTAGGGACCATCCGATCAGGGGCCTCACCCGCCGGCACCACTCCATCAGAGGCCACACCGGCAGGCACCACTCCATCAGAGGCCACACACCGGCAGGCACCACTCCATCAGGGGCCTCACCTACCGGTACCACTCCATCAGAGGCCACACCCCGGCAGGCACCACTCCATCAGAGGCCACACCGGCAGGCACCACTCCATCAGAGGCCACACACCCGCAGGCACCACCCGATCAAGTGCCACACCCGCAGGCACCACCCGATCAGGTGCCACACCGGCAGGCACCATCCGATCAGGTGCCACACCGCCAGGCACCACTCCATCAGAGGCCACACACCGGCAGGCACCACTCCATCAGAGGCCACACACCGGCAGGCACCACTCCATCAGAGGCCACATACCGGCAGGCCACACAACGGCAGGCACCACTCCATCAGAGGCCACACACCCGCAGGCACCACCCGATCAGGTGCCACACCCGCAGGCACCACCCGATCAGGTGCCACACCGGCAGGCACCATCCGATCAGGTGCCACACCGCCAGGCACCACTCCATCAGAGGCCACACACCGGCAGGCACCACTCCATCAGAGGCCACACACCGGCAGGCACCACTCCATCAGAGGCCACATACCGGCAGGCCACACAACGGCAGGCACCACTCCATCAGGTGCCACACACCCGCAGGCACCACCCGATCAGGTGCCACACCCGCAGGCACCACCCGATCAGGTGCCACACCCGCAGGCACCATCTGATCAGGTGCCACACCCGCAGGCGCCACCCAAGCAGGCACCACACCAACAGGGGCCACACCAGCAAGCACCACACCAGCAGGCACCACACTGTCAGGGACCACACCTGCAGGCGCCAAACCAGCAGGTGCCACCCCAGCAGGCACCACCCCAACAGGGGCCACACCAACAGGGGACAACCTGGCAGGGGCCACCCCAGCAGTGGCCACCCCTGCAGGTGCCACCCCAACAGGGGCCACACCGACAGGGGCCACCCCAGCAGGCGCCACCCCAGCAGTGGCCACACCCGCAGGCGCCAAACCAGCAGGCACCACACAAACAGGGGCCACAACGACAGGGGACAACCTAGCAGGGGCCACACCGTCAGGGACCACACCAGCATAGGTCACCCCAGCAGGCACCACACCATCAGGGACCACACCTGCAGGCGCCAAACCAGCAGGTGCCACCCCAGCAGGCACCACCCCAACAGGGGCCACACCGACAGGGGACAACCTGGCAGGGGCCACCCCAGCAGTGGCCACACCCGCAGGTGCCACACCAGCAGGGGCCACACCAGCAGGGACCACACCAACAGGGGCCACACCAGCAGGGACCACACTGGCACGGGCCCCATTGACATCCACACACAGCGGACATTGCTGCCACCCAATACTCAATCTAGGTGACCATCTATTCCCACAGGTTGACATTGCTGCAGACATGGGTTTATTGGGATCTAAATATTAAACAGAAAGTTACTTACCCACGTCCTCGACATCCAAGTCTCTCTTCGACATCTCGCTTCAGCAAGCCCTCGAGCACACTCTTCATCTCCGGCGACATGGAGTCAGGGAGTTCCACATTCTACAACAACAGGCACAGATGGTTGACTCCTCATGGAACAAGATCTTCCCTTGCTATATTATACCATACTATATAAAATGCAGCTTACGATTTCAGCCACTAAAGTTTAACACTATGGAACTTATATTTGATCTACAATGCTCAGTAATAACAGTACAATTTACAGTCCATACGTTAACACGTTACAATCTACAGAAAAAGATGATAGGAGACCATTGGGAGAGAGTGAAATGAAAATCACAGATGCTAGCCACTTCACTGAAAGCTTTGATAAAGCATCATAAATGGTTCGACTTCACTGTGTATATTATAATTATGAATCAACCAGCATGACAACTTGGTAAAAGGCCACAAATCACCCACCATGGTCATTGTCATACGGTCAATCTCATGCTTGTCTTTGGTCTTGTGTTGTCTGAAGGGGCTGTGTCTGAAAGACAGAGAAAACAAACTAACAATTTTGGGCAGGTCATAAACATCTGGAATACATTATACAGCAAACATGTTACAAGGGGACGTAAACGGTAATGGTGTCATACTCAAAAAGACTTCGAGGTTGGTTAGTATTGTTGTTGGGACTCCACACTCAGCAATATTTCAGCTTTATGACAGCGGTCTGTAAATAATCGAGTCTGGACCAGACAATCCAGTGATTGACATTATGTGCATCAATTCATGCAATCAGGATACAATAACATGCATCAACCAAGTCAGCAGGCTGACCACCTGATCCCGACCACTCTTACGATAAGAATAGTTGACTTTTACAGCAAGCATGGGTTGCTGAAGACCTATTCTAACTCGGATCTTCATGGGTTGATGGTGGTTGGTAAATAGCAGTGGCATAACTGTCTTAATGATGAAATGTTTAAGAAAACTGTGATAATTTGTACTACTCCAGTTGGGTAAGTGAGTTTTGTGTAATGCTGCTTTGAACAGTATTTCATTTATATCAACCATCATGAACTTTGGTTATAGGTCCTTATCGTTTGAATGGGGTTTTCAACTGGAGTCAGCTCTATCAAAGCCATATCAGTATTATTTCTGATGCTATATCAGTCTGAAAAGTAACCAGTGGTTGACAGAGTGAACATCTATTTTCTTATCGGAATAGTCATGACCTAGGGTGGCACCTACCCTTTGAGTAACTTGTAGAGCATGCAGCCGAAGGAGAACCAGTCAGCACTGGAATCATAGGCAGTTCCCTTGTGCAACACCTCAGGAGCCATGTACCCGTGTGTACCACTGAAACAAGATACATAAAATGAGGAGAAATGTACCCTTGTGCATCACCTCAGGAGCTATGTACCCATGTGTACCACTGAAACAAGATACATATAATGAGGAGAAATGTACCCTTGTGCATCACCTCAGGAGCTATGTACCCATGTGTACCACTGAAACAAGATACATATAGTGAGGAGCAATGTACCCTTGTGCATCACCTCAGGAGCTATGTACCCATGTGTACCACTGAAACAAGATACATAAAATGAGGAGCCATGTACCCTTGTGCAACACCTCAGGAGCTATGTACCCATGTGTACCACTGAAACAAGATACATATAGTGAGGAGCAATGTACCCTTGTGCATCACCTCAGGAGCTATGTACCCATGTGTACCACTGAAACAAGATACATAAAATGAGGAGCCATGTACCCTTGTGCAACACCTCAGGAGCTATGTACCCATGTGTACCACTGAAACAAGATACATATAATGAGGAGAAATGTACCCTTGTGCAACACCTCAGGAGCTATGTACCCATGTGTACCACTGAAACAAGATACATATAATGAGGAGAAATGTACCCTTGTGCATCACCTCAGGAGCTATGTACCCATGTGTACCACTGAAACAAGATACATATAATGAGGAGCAATGTACCCTTGTGCATCACCTCAGGAGCTACGTACCCATGTGTACCACTGAAACAAGATACTTATAGTGAGGAGCAATGTACCTGTGTCCAAAACCTTTGGAACCACTGATCCATTTCCAACACCTCAGGAGCCATGTACCGTATTGTCTAGACTGAATAAAACAGTCTTGCTCAAGCAGGACTAGCTGCAACTCTAATAAGGTTTACACTAGTCCTATTGAATAGTCTTGATAAAAAAAAAATCTGATGCTTTTATACACAATCACATGTAACTATAGCAGGCTGACGATAGGGGAGGCACTAATTACACTGATTACGGTACTTGAACATTTCCCTGAAACCAGGGCAGATACATGTTATTCCACTGCATTCTAGTCCATGTCACTGTGCCACTGGTGATGTAAAGTCATCAGGATCTATCTCCATTACGGCTAATTGAGGGTTAACCTTTCAGAAATACACACACTGTATCTAAATGAAGAGTGTGTTTCAATTACAGGTGTCCTCTATGTGATAGCAGCATGAACAACGCCATGTAGCAATTCACTTGCTTCTCTTGAAGGTCAGGAATCCTACAGTTGGATCTTAGTGTCACATTTATTTTTATTCTATTTTTCAATTTGTAATTACAACTGAATGTTGTCATTTCTTCAAGAACAATGATAGATATTTGTAGAGATTTGTAACTGTCGGTAAATGAATTTCATGATCGGCTTATATGCAATCAATTCATCAGTTGTAATATATGAATTAGTTATATTATAGTTTTTGTTGCATATTTTTAGTTCCTTTAATGCATATTTTTCCCAAATAAGCAGCTTATCTACAGCCCTGCGTCTTACAATAGATGTTGCAAAGGCCCAAGTATTCATGTGCACATGCATAGGAGTTCAGACAGATCAAACATGACCGTTAATTCTTCTCTATCTCTGCGTAAAATAGTTGCTAACCTTGACATTCAAGTTACATGAACACTCGCATATGCGCTCTGTATACCTCAGTCTACTATTGTAAGTACTCGAGTGTTCATCGGATCTGAAATTATTGCTCTCAATTTGAAACTATAACGTACACCATAACTTTATAGATTATTGTAGTTATCTAGCACCAGTTACTCGTGACAAAATATGCATCCCTCCCCATAAAAAACCCTGTATTCGTGCTTGTATTCAGCTTCAAAATTACCACCAGAGAATGTTGTTCCCTTAAGATTGTGATAAGGTCCAGCCAAGCATGCGGTTTTGAAAAATGCTTTCAACAACATTCTTATTTGTGTGCTTTGCATAATGTCTAGTAGCTCATGATTTACAAGACTGATTTATTGTCTAGACTGATCAATAAAGGTCATGCAAATATTCTCCTTCAGATTTCCTAATTTCCTTGGTAGTCGACTACCTGTGCCACTTCTTCATGCCCTCCCCTGGATGGAGGGCCTCTTGCATGGCCCCGAGTTTCACACACCCTCAACAACAGGATGAATGATGTGTTTGGCAGCAAGTGATCGAATGTTTATTTATGCTTCAGACAGCAATATTCTACCTTTGTCATGGCGGACCATAAATAATGAAGTCTGGGCCATGAAAAGTACTCAGTGAGTATCGATCAACAGGGGTTCCATATGACACTGCGAGCCAGGCCAGCCACACAGTGTGTCCACCTGATCCACCTCAGGGTGGATAGTCCTGGGGACATATTCTGCCATGGAAACCCATAAGGGCAAGCCATGGGTTGGCAGCCATGTGCATCATAAAGCTACACCAAACAATCAACATGCAGTGGCTGACTATAGAAGGTGGCGACCAGAAGCTGATCAGAGCCTGAGTAGAAGGTGGCGACCAGAAGCTGATCAGAGCCTGACCAGAAGGTGGGGACCAGAAGCTGATCAGAGCCTGAGTAGAAGGTGGCGACCAGAAGCTGATCAGAGCCTGAGTAGAAGGTGGCGACCAGAAGCTGATCAGAGCCTGAGTAGAAGGTGGCGACCAGAAGCTGATCAGAGCCTGACCAGAAGTTGACAACCAGAAGCTTATCAAAGCCTGACCAGAAGGTGGCAACGAGAAGCTGATCAAAGCCTGACCAGAAGGTGGCGACCAGAAGCTGATCAAAGCCTGACCAGAAGGTGGAGACCAGAAGCTGATCAAAGCCTGACCAGAAGGTCGTGACCAGAAGCTAATCAGAGCCTGACCAGAAGTTGACAACCAGAAGCTGATCAAAGCCTGACCAGAAGGTGGCAACAAGAAGCTGATCAAAGCCTGACCAGAAGGTGGCGACCAGAAGCTGATCAAAGCCTGAGTAGGAGGTGGCGACCAGAAGCTGATCAGAGCCTGAGTAATAGGTGGCGACCAATAGCTGATCAGAGCCTGAGTAATAGGTGGCGACCAATAGCTGATCAGAGCCTGAGTAGAAGGTCACGACCAGAAGCTGATCAAAGCCTGACCAGAAGGTGGCGACCAGAAGCTGATCAAAGCCTGAGTAGAAGGTGGCGACCAGAAGCTGATCAGAGCCTGAGTAGAAGGTGGCAACCAATAGCTGATCAGAGCCTGAGTAGAAGGTGGCGACCAGAAGCTGATCAGAGCCTGACCAGAAGCTGATCAAAGCCTGACCAGAAGCTGACGACCAGAAGCTGATCAGAGCCCGAGTAGAAGGTGATGACCAGAAGCTATTCAGAACCTATCTGGAAGGTGACTAAACAGAAGCTGATCAGAGGCTGACTAGAAGGTGACTGACCAGAGGCCGACCAGAGGTATGCATGCTACACCTTAGTGAAGTAAACACAAGCATGATAGGTGGACATGTAAGGTGTCAGAAAAAGAGGATGAACAGTTTTATTACCTTTCTTCTGGATCCAAAACCTTACATACTACCTACATACAATAGTTGAATAACCATCAGCCAGTGCCTACATACTATCTATTTAAAATAACCATCCGCTTGTGCTTTAAGCAACATCGGCCAGTTGAGACAAACAGGTCCACCCACCCCAAAGAATCAAACTGTAAACTTTCATACCAAAAACAAGTACACCTCCTACAAATGCATCATTTCAGTCCAATACATGACCTTGTGTAATGATACAAACACTAAGAAGGTGCTAGTGAGTTTGATTCTTAGACACCCTTAGCAACACACCACAACACAGAAATGGGCAAATACAGACGCCTCTAGCACCCTCCACTAACAAATACACAGCCACAGATATTTGTTCGTGAATTTTAGGCTAGACCAGGACCAGTATAAACCTTATTTCACTAGTCCTCAAAGTTTGTAGCTGGTCCTGCTTTATACAGACGAAAAACATTTACTTTACTTATATTCTGGCAGTTTTAGCCTGTTCCAATTTGTAGCAAACTTGTAGCAGGGCGAGAGAGTTATAGCTCTCAAATGCTACTAGTCAACGAGGACTACCATCATTGGATATTTATTTGTCCTCGGCACAATTTAGTAGTGTCGGGCTAGTAAACTAGCATGAATTTAGAAGGGTAAACTGACCCAACTGCAATCACTAAGACAGGCCATTATGATTCATCCGTCTACATGGTTCTACCTCATCCGCAGCATCATACCTAAATCAGTCATCAGATATGCCTTGAAGCTGTAGACAGTGACACAACATTCGTCTCCCTTGCTAGGTTTTCGACAGCACAGATCCATCATTGGCACATTTGAACTATGATTGATGATGCAGTTTACATATTAACGACTTCCCAATTAGGGTTTGATTAACAAGGCATAGTTATGTCTGATAATTACGTCTCAGTGTTGTCTACACCTAACCCAGGCCCCGTTCCACAAAGCAATCATTGCACTATGACTATCGTAACTTTATGTTAAAGTATGGGAGTTCTGATCACCATAGCACTAAGATCACTATGTGGAATGTGGCCCCATACAGTTGTCCGACATCAATAAACTTGAAAACCTAAATCCCGATACGAAACCTTTGTTTCTACATATAACTATTATCATCAACTTACATGTTATACTCCCCAATATTGGGGCTTTGATGACAGGGTTGTTAACACAAGATCTGCTTCCCTGATAGCAATCAAATATTCAGAGCTATTCTCAATCAGGTATGTTCTTTGAAGTTAAAAATTAGTTGAAACACAAATAGTTAAACCAGGGGTCCGGAAATTTTAAAATCCCAATCGGACATTTGCATTTAGGCCACGCCCCCTTCAAATAGCGTATTTTAGTACGACTTTTCACACACATTACAAGTTTACGTATTCATAATATAATGAATTATGAATTGTTTCAATTTAAATTGTTTAATTCACCGGACAATTAATAACAAATAATATCATTTTAGATTTACATGGAAAACATACGTTTGTTTCTGTTATAATAACGATCTGTTAACGTAGTGAACGGTCTAATTAATATTCATGAGTCTGCTCAAGTGTACGTGTTGTAACATTTGGATCGAGACTATTATCCCATATTTGGTTATCACGTGACCTCACGGGAAAAGTTTTTTTGTAAACTAAAGATTTTTTTAAAAACAAGACAGATAATTTAATCACAAATACTAAAATATCGTTGATAGCAATAGTTATTTGAATACTTTTTTCATCTGTACTTAATTATTGACCATAAAAAAATTGGATATCGATCGTCCGAGAAAGCAAAATGGCGGTCAATCAAGATTCAATATATACTAGCTACTGAAAACAATAAAATCTGCAAATCCTCATTGTATGTCAACCAAGTGAAAGTCGTTAGCCACGACTTACAAAATGATCGTCCAGACTTTGAGGGTTTGGCAGATGCGCTCGACTGATCTGCATCGGTCGACTGGCTGTCGTCACGCTTTCGCTTCTTGTCTGAGGTTACGTATCGTAGCATTGTGAGGATAATGAAGTACATCGATGTTGCAAGGTATTAATGTACAGTTGTAAACACCTTTCACTCAAATTAACAAGATGTTCTCAGTAATTAATCCTCGATTAATCAGTGTCAACTCAGTTTATTGCCTATTACAGTGATTGACCGATTGGACTATCATGTAGGTACGATGTATTTACAGCAATCAAAACAAACAAAGCTTGTCAGTGTAGTTAATCTTCATTGTGTTGCAACTGCAGACAGAAACTGCTCAGTCCTAACTGTTGATCATGTCCGGTCAAAATTTAAGAATGTCCGGACAATACTTTTTAAAATGTCCGGTAAGCAATATTTTAAAACGGACATTTGAGATTCCCAATCGGACATGTCCGGCGCATATGACGGTTTCCGGACCCCTGAGTTAAACCCATTCTGTTGACATACACGACACAGTGGTAGTAATTCAAATTCTTTCTTGTGTTCTTCAATTGTGAAATGTTCCAGAAAATTGTGAAAAAATAATTATTTCAAGGTTTTACAAGAACAAGGATAATGGCTGGGTGTTCAGACGAACATGTCTTAAAAATAATAAATTGTTTGATGGTCTTTCAAATAAATAAGAAAAAAAACTTCCCAGGCCTCTATCCCCAACCCCTGCATATAAAATGCTCGTCCCCATGTTTTCATCTCCTCATCCCTCGCCAGGCAGTTGCCATCCCCATGTTGAGGAAGACTACTAAAGATAAGGCCAAGGCTGGGGAACATTAATGTATAGTCTGACCCCTGACACCATGCTAGTCTGCTCACCGAGACTGTCTAGGCAGATGATTGCAGATATACTTACACACTGGCATGTGGCTTTTTCTTGGAGAAATCACACGCCAACCCGAGATCTGAGATTCGTACATGTCCATTTTCATCTAGGAGTATGTTTGCGGGCTGCAAAGAAATATAATGGCACTTAATTCAATATTACGAAAGATTTCCACTTAGATATGATATCAACTTACAACCTCCACAATAAACACAACTGAAAGGGGGCTTAATGTAAGGGCAGCCATGTGCCTATGATATCATAGAATCCTTCAACATGGAGGAGTTGAAGAAGGTTTGTTTCTGGTTTAATGCTGCCCTCAGCAATATTACAGCTATATGACAGTGGTCTGTAAATAATGAAGTCTGGATCATACTATTCAGCGATTGATATTATGAGCATCAATCCACTCAGTTGGGATATGATAACATGCATCAACCAAGTCAGTGAGCCTGATCATGCGATCCCGTTAGTCGCCTCTTACGAAAAGCATTGGTTGCTGAAGACCAATTCTAACCCAGATCTTCACGGGTAATTGGAAAAGGTAAACCAGTGGTTGATAGCATGAGCATCAACTGATGCCATGTTCATACAACCTTGCAAGCCACATTCTTTCATCACATTGGTCAGAGTATAAGTACTATCATCACAGTCATGGCTGCCATTGTAACCAAACAATCTTCAAACAAGTTGCTTCTTTAAACTGGGTGGAACTCAAAAGGACGAGAGTGGTGCCAACAGACCAAGGATCATGATATAGATGTGAATTTGGGATTGAAACTAGAAGATCATGGCATGTCACTGTTCCACGCGAATTGCAGTGCTTCATATCACTCGGGCTCTCATGCCCACAAGAGCATGTCTACTTCTCTGGACACAAGAGAATGTCTATTGTCAAAACACAAGAGTGTGTCTTCAGCTATAAACACAAGAGCATGTCTAGTGTCAAAACACAAGAGAGTGTCTTCAGCTATAAACACAAGAGCATGTTTATTCTGCAAACACAAGAGCATGTTTCCTTCTGTAAACAAAAGAACTTGTCTACTTCTATAAACACAAGAGCATGTCTACTTCTATAAACAAGAACCTGTCTACTTCTATAAACACAAGAGCATATTTCTTCTGCAAACACAAGAGCATGTTTTCTTCTGTAAACAAAAGTACCTGTCTACTTCTATAAATACAAGAGCCTGTCTACTTCTGTAAACAAAACAACCAGTCTACTTCTATAAACAAAAGAACCTGTCTACTTCAATAAACACAAGAACCTGTCTACTTCTATAAACACAAGAGCCTGTCTACTTCTGTAAACAAAAGAACTTGTCTACTTCTATAAACACAAGAGCATGTCTACTTCTATCAACAAGAACCTGTCTACTTCTATAAACACAAGAGCCTGTCTACTTCCATAAACAAGAGCCTGTCTACTTCCATAAACAAGAGCCTGTCTACTTCTATTAACAAGAACCTGTCTACTTCTATGAACACAAGAGCCTGTCTACTTCCATAAACAAGAGCCTGTCTACTTCTACAAACTCAAAAGCAAGAGACTGCTACATGAATTGGGCCCTGATTGCCTGCTCACCTTGAGATCTCGATACACCACAAAGCGACTGTGCATGTGTTCCAGCCCAAGGATGACCTCTGTGGCGTAGAAGCGTACTTCCTTCTCCGTGAAGACGCCGTGTTGGGACAGATGGTAGTGCAAGTCCCCACCATTCATCAAGTCCAGGATGAAACACAACTTCTCCGGTGTTTGAAATGCATATGTCATACACACAATGAAGGGACTTCCATCCTGAAACAAACATTTGCATATGTCATACACACAATAAAGGAGCTTCCATCCGGATAAAAGTACAAGCATGTTTGAAAATATTATAAACAGTGAAAAATACTTCATCTGGAAGGTAGTGCTACTAATGAAATCAATCCAGGTTACTAAACATCCAGTTTAACAAATCCTGATTTCAGAGTTTGTTGGTTTAGAACAATGTTCTACCCAACACACACTGGGTGGTGTGGACAATGTGGACATGCATGGTAGAAGGATGATAGTTCAACCACTGGTCACAGGACTACATTTTTTATCATTAGCAGGAACCAGTAAATTGCCTTCAACATAAACTTTGTGACGCTTGGATGTTTCAAGGGCACCTGCAACCCATTGTCCCATATGAAATCAGAACAAGCATATCATCAAGCAAGTTTCAAGTACTGGTTAGGTTTATATCTGAATAAATCTACACCTATATATTCAAGTCAAAGGTGAGGTCAGGAGAGGTGAAATTGGGCACAAAGTTGCATTCAAGATTATTTCCCCTACAGTAAACTATGGTCATAACAAATTCGAGGGGACCGCTAATTTTAGTTTGTCATAACCGTAGGTCATTATAAGCATACATACAGCACATATACAACAAATGGCTGGGACTAAAAAATATGTTCGTTATATCGGTCAGTTTGTATTAGTGAGCGTGTTAGTCATTAACATAGTTTATAGTATATAGCAACGCGTGTGTGGGTGCTTGTAGTGGTCGGACTTATGCCGGTTTAAATAAAAAATTCTTGTCAGCCCATTGGTCTGGTCCAGACCCCATCCTTGAAGTGAGTGAGTTTGGTTTTACGCCGCTTTTAGAAATATTCCAGCAATATCACAGCGGGGGACACCAGAAATAGGCTTCACACATTGAACCCATGTCGGGAATCGAACCCGGGTCTTTGGCATGACGAGCGAACGCTTTAACCACTAGGCTACCCGACAGCCCCCCATCCTTGAAGGCCTCTGTGACAGCTGAAATATTGTGGACTGTGTACAAAGAATCTCCTTGTGGGTCATAAGCATATATGTTGTCATAAAAGATCATTCACTGACACACTCATGTTTCATGCTACTAACAACTGTTTTGCCTGGTCCAAGTTCGCTGTTGTACAAGATGATATAACTGAAATATATTTGACAGGCTCCAAAGAACACTTACTCCTCCCTACCGACCACTATGGTTTAACAGCACAGTAAAGGTTGTCTTGAACAACAGCCTAAGTTTATTCATTCAGGGAACTTCAACTTAAAAAGGTACACTTTTATATCACTGATTTTTTTTCAAGAGATGACAAGTGTTGTCAGTTTGAATAACTTCTCAGTACGCAGGTCCATTACGGCAGGGCAGGACCTTTGATTCCACATAAACAGTCAGCATAACATGCTGGGACTCCCTGTCAAGGATGCTCCTCATGCAGCTTAACATCCAGCAGGCCACATTAAGTCTTTTATATGCCCACAAATAACACTGAGGCATTGGGTTATTTTTAACCTCTGTATTTATTCAGTAAAACAAACGATTGATTATGCTATTCCGGAAGGTTTCATGTGGGTGTTTAGCCCTTTACTCGATAGATATTGCCTGCTTCGACCAGTCCTTCAAACCCTTTGAAATCTACTACGACACTGGCAGAATCAATGACCTGTTATTACATATATTATAAGTCTGACAATCACAGAGTTTCACAACTAAAAATAACCAGAAAGTGTTCCCACTCGTGACAACGATGAGACTTAACCGAGCTCAATATTCACAACCAGACATTCAACTTTACTAGGGCTGCCATTGATTCAATATTTGCTGCCAAGGTCATCACGGGCAATTTACATCAAGGTCACAACCTCTGACCTCCAGCAAATACAATTTGTGCCGATGGTGTTGGATATTCTATTCCCTGATTGGCTCATTTTGCATAAGTAAATGCTCATGACCCAAGGGTACAGCATCCGTCCGAAGTCGATACCAAGATAAATGGGAGAATCACTGCAGACAGTTATGAGAATGGGCCTCTCCGATGCCACTAAGATTGATTGGATTTCAAACCGATATTGCCACTCCAATGTTTTCAGTTTGATGTCCTCAAAGCCTTGCTGATGTTTATTCATTTGGGTTGGCCAAACAAACCTGTGTCTTGATTTCAAACATGTATAGCATCCAAAATGTCCAAAATGTTCTTGTAAAAAGAAAGCCAGGGATCAATGATGAAACCAGCAGAAATCCTAACACTGGTTTTACTTGTTGAGGACAGTCTGGCTGTACAGCAGTTGACAGATTTCCTTTGTATAACCCTCAGCTAGTTAAGTTAATATCACCCAAGATAAACCATTTACTTTTCTAAAGAAAAGAATCTTCGCATTGTTCAAAATACTGCTTGACAACCTGGTAACAATGGTTGTAAAAGCTCAGTTAATTTGCATTGTGGGTGATTTAGTACTTGCATATCTATTTTAGCAATACTGGGCAAGTTGAATTAACATTAGCCTGGGATTAGTCATATTCTTACTCAAGAAGTCTTTTTATCGAAATAATTCCCCTACAAACTGGTGTGCTGTATCCCGTGGCAACTGGTGTGCCGTATCCCCTGGCATCTGGTGTGTTGTATCCCCTGGCAACTGGTGTGTCTTAAACCCTGGCAATTGGTGTGTTGTATCCCCTGGCAACTGGTGTGTTGTATCCATTGTCAACTGGTGTGTCTTAAACCCTGGCAACTGGTGTGTCTTAAACCCTGGCAATTGGTGTGTTGTATCCCTTGGCAACTGGCATGCCATATCCCCTGGCAAACTAGTGTGCCGTATTACCTGGCAAATGGTGTGCCATATTGACATCCTTGTCTGCACCAGCAGGTACAGAGGAGCTTACTTGCAGACACACCATACAAAAGTCAAGCCAGCCATCAAAGTAGCCAGCATCAGAACATTAACTGTATTGGGTGGTGAGAGACAATCAACATTCAGTGCAACTATTCATGACATCAACTGTACTAGGAAAGGCTGATATGGATATAGAACCTATAATTAACAAGTATATGTCCAAGCAATAGACAAAGTTTGAACTAAACCCAGTCTTCTGGTTATACTGAGCAAGCACACTTTCCACTAGACTCCCAATTTGCCTGCACAGACTTCAGTAAGTCAGGCTTGAATATTACTGTCTATGTGGAACAATATGATTGATACTGAGGTAAGGAAAGCTTCAGAAGACACCTGATGAACTCTGTCAAACATATATTTATGCATTGAACATTCTATTAAAAAAAGCATACACTTAATAAATACTTACAGAAATATGTACTCATTGACCAACGTGAATACCTCGTGTAATTATAAAGAATCAGATAACAGAAACCATCTAAACATGCCAAAACCATCCATTAAAAGGAATCTTAAGCACTTGTATATCATCAGTTAAAAATGTAATGACTTCGCAGAAGTTATCTAGTTTACAGATCCAACACCAAGCCTTTCAACATCAACAGCCGGACAAGCCTTCCAATGCATAGCACATTACACCAGCATTCCCACTTTCAACATTGCCAAATAAATAGATTAGTCATAATTTTCCAAGATTCGGTTCATGGCTTACTTCTCCAAAAGACGGCATCAGAGAGTGACACCAATGCAGACATTTTGCTGATCTCCACACATGGTGGGTCTCAGAGTATGTTTTATCACTATTCATCAGTCATACTGCATTACAAAGTGTTCCAAGGCATGTGTTTGGGGAAGATCTGTCTCAGTATCTCATGGATTCGTCTTATCTCAAAGTACTTATGTCCCATGGTGCTGGTGTTTGCTTGGAAATTCAGGATGGCATCAATGTGAGCTTATTCATCACCGATCACAGATTGACAACAGTATTGTCACCATAGTTGACAGCAGTATTGTCATCATGGTTGACAGATTGACAGCAGTATTGTCATCATGGTTGACAGCAGTATTGTCATCATGGTTGACAGCAGTATTGTCATCATGGTTGACTACAGATTGACAGCAGTATAGTCATCATGGTTGACAGCAGTATTGTCATCATGGTTGACAGCAGCATTGTCATCATGGTTGACAGCAGTATTGTCATCATTGTTGACTACAGATTGACAGCAGTATAGTCATCATGGTTGACAGCAGTATTGTCATCATGGTTGACTACAGATTGACAGCAGTATTGTCATCATGGTTGACAGCAGTATTGTCATCATGGTTGACAGATTGACAGCAGCCTTGTCATCATGGTTGACAGCAGAATTGTCATCATGGTTGACAGATTGACAGCAGCCTTGTCATCATGGTTGACAGCAGAATTGTCATCATGGTTGACAGATTGACAGCAGTATTGTCATCATGGTTGACTTCAGATTGACAGCAGTATTGTCATCATGGTTGACAGCAGTATTGTCACCATGGTTCACTTTAGACTGACAGCAGTATTGTCATCATGGTTGACTACAGATTTAGTACCTTGTGTATGGATCAATGTTTAGTGTTAATGTCAGCTAATTCAATGGCAGTATAAGTGTGATGAAAATAGTTTAAATGAACATTAAATCATATCAATACCATATGGATATTTCGGGTCACTTTCTTGTTACATAACTGACACACCCACAAAACATTCTTTCCCAAAGTTCATTTCATCAATAATTTTAAGCCAATATGAAACAATCATTTTTTATACGAATACCAAAGAAGACCATTTCCTGGAGAGTTATTGAATGCGAAAATGAGCTGTGTAATGGTCACACCTTATTTTAATATAACACATTCCTGTGGTATTAATGCCTCACATTCAATTCTCTGAGAGATGAGGGTGATACATATTTGATACAGAGATTCACAATAGGATTTGATATCCAACTTTATGCCATACATAAAATATCCTCCAAGAGATCCATCTCATGTTTTTAATGAATTACTTCTATTTCTCCCTTGACTTTATGTATGTCTATGGAAGTGTGTGCCTGTCTAAGCTATTTTTAGACCTAATATCCCCGTGGCAGACATATATAGCATGCTTCTGACTTATTGAATCCTAAAAGAAAGCCGCCTCTTCACACCAAGATTGTCTCAAAAGTCACCTTGACAGAAATGGAGGACAAACACTACCCACAGTGCCATGAACAATATGGCCGCCACTTACATCTAATTCTCATTCTTACGCACCCTCAAGAGACTGAACTGACTATAAAATAAAAGGGACATGTCCGATAACTCATGAAATTTAAATGGACTCATTTCCCTACCGCCTTCATATGTCATTTCTGGGGGAAAATATGGATGTCCACAACGATCTATGCGATAGAGCATAAAGATATATCACATCATGGTGGCAATTGAGTGTCACACCTATACCTGGGCCCATAACAGGCCAACAGATATGGCCATAACAGGTTACTAGCTACTAGCTACTAGGCTGATCACTAATTTCATCAGGCTGCTGACTTATTGATTGGCTTGCTGGCTGTTGCTACACCTTCCAGCCTCAAGCTTCTCATTACTATTGACACTGTATCATTACACAATAACAGTTACATGGTAGAAAGAGATGGAACTGTATGTAGCAATATTTGTGAAACATAGCATCTCACACTGGGCATTGTCTGTTAATACATGGCTTTCAAACCACGCAGCCATAGTTCTTAATATCCCGCCATTAACTGTAGAGTAATTGGTTTATACATCAGTGGCAATGCATTAAGTGTTGCATGTTGTCAAACAGTGTAGCAGTATGCTGAGGTCTATTTGCATTGGAAACTGTTTTATAGACCTTTAAAGGGTCATGTCAAAGTTTGTACATTATTTCCAGTTTGTATATTTTAGAGCTAGAGTTCATCAAATGCTGTATGAAAGTGGTGTTCCAGTTCTCTTGAATATTCTGCAGATTGAGTCATACAAAATGGCTTAGTCAGGTAAATTCAATGGCTGTTTGTCCTATGTCTGATACAAACATTTTATACTCTTTATTTGTAAGCATAATCTTGCACCATAAAGTAAACATTCCGTCAGATAGCCGTTATATCAGAAACCACGATTGTATAATGAAATTGAAGAAACATTCAGTGATTCCTTCCTACACATAAACACCAGTCACCACGTCGGACAAAAGAAGCATTGTCATGAGTCACCACGCTACTTTCATTGGGGGGGTTCTACCACCGTAGTAATTCTACTGATCTTTGTTTCACATGCGTGACAGTGCCAGCAAAACAAAGACAATGCTGTCAACATATTTGGGGGGCAAAAACAGTTCATATACTTATGAGAGTGAGTTTGTTTGTATATTTGTTGTTTAATGCCGCACTCAGCAATATTCCAGCTATGTGACGGCAGTCTGTACATAATTGAGTCTGGACCAGACACTCCAGTGATTGACATTATGAGCATTGATCCACGCAATTTGGATACAATGACATGCATCAAACAAGTCAGCGAGCCCATCCCGTAAGTCGCCTTTTACGACAAGCATAGTCGCCTTTTACGACAAGTATAGTCGCCTTTTACGGCAAGCCTGGGTTGCTGAAGACCTGTTCTACCCCGGATCTTCACGGGTTTATGAGAGTAGGCTGAAATGAAACTGGCAAAATTATCTGTCCTGTATTTTTGTGAACACCCCCACTGGAAACACTAAAAAACAGAAAAATCGAGACAATTCGGAAGAAGTGTCAGCAGTGTTACAACAAAGAAGTAACCTGCATGTCATAGTAGAAAACCTATTTACTTGCTCTGTGTTTCAAATGTTTATGAGCGAGTGGTTCAGGTTTTGTGCCCACTAAGCAATTATCAGGAGATGCCAAGAACTGACATGACACATGATATAACTTCATTATACCATGAAGTGAGGGGTGGTTGGGTAGCCTAGTGGTTAAAGCATTCGCTCATCATGCCTAAGACACAAGTTCGATTCCACACATGGGTACATCGTGTGAAGCCCAATTCTGGCGTCCCCCGCAATGATATTGCTCGAATATTGCTAAAAGCGATTAAAACAATATTCACTCACTAACCCATGATGGGAATCCATCCCGGGCCTTCAGCAACCACTGGGCTGTATCATCATAGGAAACAGATCCCCAAAGGCCAGGTGTAGCAATTGTCATGAAATTTATCATTAAGTGAAAGTCCCATCATTATCTGGACAAGAAATATCTACTAAGTCTATGTGACCCACATCCATACTCGCTATAAGACGTTATATGAGGATGCTGCTTCGAACAACTACCGCCAACACCACATACACATCATATAGCACCCTACTGGGGAATTGATACAAGTGACCCACAGTACACATACAATAATCCAGCTGTATGATGGCCAGCTGAGTGTGTGAAAGAGCGAGTGAGTGAGTTGGGTTTAACGCCGCTTTTAACAGTATTCCAGTTATATCACGGCCTGTCAGCTTAATGTGGGAGGAAAGCCCGAAATGATGCAGGTCGCAGACGTTTACCACTTGGGTGAAACCCACGAGCACGGATATGGTGCTGACAAACCTAGAAACATAATCGGGGCAAACCGGGATTCGAACCCACAATCATAGGTTTCTGGCGTGCCCAAGGGAAGCAACTCTGCACAGCAAATCGCGGCGCCTTAGACGACTGGGCCACCCGTGCCCCCGAGTGAAAGAGTGAGTGAGTGAGTGAGTGAGTGATATATACATAACACAGTAAACACGAATGTACTCACCCCTGTACTGACTAATGACAACATTATCCTTTCATTCAGAGCTAATGTCTCTCCTCCCTTCATTTTAATTCTCTTCTTGTCCAGGCATTTCATTGCATACCTGCAACATGGGACATGAAGGGTTAACAATGCATTTTACATAGGACAGAACATTGAATACTAACACAGCATACCTTTAACATAGGACATAAGTGTTAACACAGCATACCTTTAACATAGGACATAAGGGTTAACACAGCATACCTTTAACATAGGACACAAGGGTTAACACAGCATACCTTTAACATAGGACATAAGGGTTAACACAGCGTACCTTTAACATAGGACATAAGTGTCAACACAGCGTACCTTTAACATAGGACATAAGTGTTAACACAGCATACCTTTAACATAGGACATACGGGTTAACACAGCATACCTTTAACATAGGACATAAGGGTTAACACAGCATACCTTTAACATAGGACATAAGGGTTAACACAGTATACCTTTAACAAAGGACATGGGGGTTAATGTTGCATATTTCTAACACAGGGCATAGGGGTTAACACTGCATAATTTAACATAGAACACACGAGTTAACACTGACTGAGGCTAAGGATCTGTCAACAATTACCGTATAGGGTTAATGTTGCATTTTATTTCAAATCACAGGATGTCACATGACATTTACATGATGCACGGCAAGTGCGCCACCTCGTGTAGAGCTTCAGATTGCCGTGGCACCTGGCGGACCTTCTCGTTCTCCTAAATATAGCTCTCCTCCACTGAACAGCCATTAATAATGGATTGTTTCAACCATGAATCAGCTCAAGTGATGTCCACCATGACTTACATTTTGCCTGTATCTGCTTTTCTGCACCCGTAAACCTCGCCAAATCCCCCTCTGCCGATAATCCTATGTACACTGAAGTCATTCATTGTTAACTGAAAAAAAACAGACACATCATAGCCACTAATGAATGCAATATTAATTAAGCAGGTATGCCTGAGCCATTGAGTTTGGTTTAATGTTACTTTTAACAGTATTCCAGTTATATCACAGCCTGTCAGCTTGATGTGGGAGGAAAACCAGGGGATGGTGCTGACAAACTTAGAAACATAATCGTGATGAAACGGGATTCGAACCCACAACCACAAGTTAGTGGCTTGCCCAAGAGACTCTCCACAGCAAATTGCGGTGCCCGCGAGCAGGCATGAACAGAACACATGTGCATCATCTGTACAAATGATTTCATCTTATCAGCATTTAGCCTTCTTAAAAGGAGACCATAATCAGTCAAGACATTCAATTTGTGCATAATGTGAAAATGAAACATTTAATAAGGTTCTTATTAACTTTTAAGTGAAATTTGGGTTAGACGTCAAAGTTGGTTCTTTACGATTTGAATCAAACTTGCTACTACTGCCTCAGCTGGTTGCCCTTAAAATTTGGTTTCTTGGACTAAAAGATCTCGTGATGATGTTCAAGATATGAAGTGAAAAAAGTACTTTCTCACAAGTAAACAGTAAAAAGCAAGAAAATTGCAACCACTTAGAAAGTATATTTCTTAAAAGAAGTGGAAGAACACACAATTCTTCCATATTACTACAGTTATTTAACAATAGTAAAAATGAACAAAATCACTTCATTCAAAAATAAAAATACTCACATTAATATTTAATTCTAAATTTTTCCACTGGCAAAACCTTGTGTATTTTTCACTGAAAAACAAAAACAGACACAATGCTTAAGACATGATAAATGACTATTTGCTGCTGTGTGAGAGGCTGGACTGGAGGATGATTCTTTATGGACAGATTTTAGTGGAAGGTGTACCAGTTCTTCCTCTCGAGAGAACCACATGCACATGTTGCTCTAAATGAAAACAGATTCAGGCTTCATACATTCAAGTGTTCTCCGAGGAGCTTGGCAGGGGCCTGCTTCTCACTGAACATTTTAAAAGACTTGAAATTAAGATTGCAATTGTTCATTTTGTAAGTGCCAACCCAGTCCTTGACTGTCCAACATTTGGAAAGGGGAAATATTACCAAAACAATGTTTACAAAATAAGTTTGTTTATTGAGTGAATGAGTATAGTTTTACGCCTTTTAGGAATATTCCAGCAATATCACGGCGGGGGACATTCTTCCCATTTCGGGAATCGAAAATGGGTCCTCGGCGTGACGAGTGAACGCTTTAACCACTAGGCTATCAGACCCCACTTAGAAATATTCCAGCTATATGACAGCGGTCTGTAAATAATCGAGTCAGAAATAGACAATCTAGTGATTGACATCTTGAACATCTATCTCCGCAATTGGGATACGATGACATGCATCAACCAAGTCAGCGAACCTCATGACAAGCATAGTCGCCCTTACAAAATAATTACCTTCCAAAACATATCACATAACATATCTCAGTAAATGTCATGAAGCAGACATATCAGGGACAATGTATGAAATTAATGGAACAATCACATGCTTCAACACTGGATGTTTTCTAGCATATGGCCAACAAAAATTATATCATAAAAGTTATATCAAAACGTGTGTGGAGTTACCAATCAATGGGATGAGTGAATGAGTTATTGGAATTTACGCCATTTATGGCATATTTTAGCAATATCACAGCAGGGACACCAGAAACAGTCTTCACACATTTGGTTTTAAAGTTTTTAACCCACCACCCACATGTCATTGAATAAACAATATGCATGTTGTGCAGACTGATCTACATGATGTTGGAATTGTTTTTGTTAATGTCACACTCAATATTCCAGCTATATGACAGCCATCGGTCAAGAGTGAGTGAGTGAGTATGGTTTTACGCCACTTTTAGCAATATTCCAGCAATATCACGGCGGGGGACACCAGAAATAGGCTTCACACATTGTACCCATGTCGGGAATCGAACCCGGGTCTTCGGCGTGATGAGCGAACGCTTTAACCACTAGGCTACCCGACCTCCCCCATCTGTAAATAACCAAGCTTAGACCAGATAAACCAGTGATTGACATTATGAGCAATGTCCAATGCAATTAGCTAAGCCACTGAGTATGCTTCCTGATCCATGAAGTCGTCTCTTACAACAAGCACAGGTAGCTATGGCTCAACATGTGTGTCTTCTAACCCAGAGTCCACACTTGAACATGACGTGGACAGAAAATTCAGAGAATTCTTTCAGACAAATACAAACCAAACGAATGATGAAAGAAAGATTCAACTTACCTCTCTAAAAAATTTTGAAATATATGACCCCGTAATGAATTACATATTTCATCTATGTATGGCTGAAAGAAAAAGAATTTTTTTTATATATATGTACAGTTAGTATACATTCATAATTATACAACACCATGAAACAATGTATGGTTTTGGAGCAACATATTAAAGATGCCAACAACTTTCGAACATAAAAACATTGAAAAGGATACTTTCCCATCAGGATCCACAAAAAAATTCTGACACTATAAAAAATTTACATTTGTATAGAACCAATCAGAAACAGCAATTTCTGAAACATCAAATTCCGCAATAGCAATAATCAATTTCCTATTTGTGCCTTAACTGATACCACAAACTCAGCTGGATCTGTCGGTAGATGTCCAACAGTTGTCAAACAATTTGTTTCTCTAATAAATATATTTGGATGACCTTGTTAAAGATTTGTTGGCAAACAGTTGTCTAACAGTTGTCAAACAACTGATCCCTTTCATAAATGAGTGATAAACTTTATCCTTAACAAATTTTAACAGCTGTCAAAGAGTTCCTCGGCTAAAATCTTTCTTATGAGGGTAAATCCAACTGAGCATTAAGAGTCCCCTTGTACCAAAATCCTGATTCCACTTGAGAAGTAATGTACTTCCAAATACTCGGGAAATATCAGAATCTTCTAGGGCTGGGACGATACACAAGGTCACGATACGATACGTATCACGATAGTGGGGTCACGATACGACACGTACGATACGATACACAAAAAAATGTCACAAGCTGGTGGAAGATGTTGAAAGTTTAATGTAAAATAGTTCTCATCAAATAACTCAAATTTTCCTTCAGAACATGTGTCAAACACAGCACATGTCACTCAATAGCAAGACTCAAAACACCTGAGTTAAGGAGCCTGACTAAATACCCGGATTTTCTGCAATAAAAATGCATTCTAAATGTCATCTGAACAGCAGAACTATTTGGTAAAAACAACCACTGGCTTGTGATTTTCTCACAATGATCAATGAAAGGCAAATTGTCTGAAACTCTGAACTTGAATAATCAACATCACACTAATTAGTAAATCACAAAGTCAGACATGTTTAACTGATGTCTGAACATTAACTCTTACAACACCAGTCAACCAGAAGTGTTTACTGCTTGGACACCGAGTTCCCAGAGACTCTTGTGTGATAGATGAAGCCAACATTTATCAAAGAAAATATCTGCTTGTAAAATATATTTGCCACTACATGTTATACACCATTTGAAAGGTCTGATCCTACGGTTTATAAATATGAAAGTTATGTTTTTCACATTATTTTAAATAATGCATTTACAACTTAATTAAGTCCGTTGTAAATAAAAATGTAAGCTAACACGTTGTTAACATCCAGATTAAGGACCAAGGAAGTGAAAACTTGACGATTTTCGGCAGATATAAGATTTCATAAAATCCACTAACCTATTTCTGTTTTATATTCATTGTTTACGCAATTGGAAAATCATTTTAAAAAAAGAATTATGAATAGTTTCTGTCATCACCCATTTCCCGATAACAGCGGCTGTCCGCTCAGTAACATGAAGAAATACCCCCGTTTTCGAGGCTTCGAATGAATAAAAAGTTCATCGAAGAATGGCATATGACACATCGCTGAAAAGCTTATTCCTTCATCTACATTCTCGTACCATCGACTGTTTTTTTCCGTAGTTATAACAAGAAATTTCATTGGATTAAAATTGGTTTCTAATGACGCTTTCTTGATGAAATCTGCTACAAGTTTCGTGATTAGACAATTTTGAGCAGGTGACCTAAGGCAGCGAATCAAATTACAGCTGGGATACCAAGCTCGTGTTTGATAAATTTCAGAAGTTGGCGAATTTTTTTTGTTAAATCGTGCTATTCTAAACGTTTTAAGCAGGAAATCACGATATATATTAAAAAATATGGAACTTTGTGAACGTATCGTGCTAGGTTACGAGCTGTGGCAAAGATTTTTCATGCATATATTTTTGCATCAAACATCGTGTCCGAGCCGAGAATTCAAGGCGACGAAAGCTGAGATGTCATTTGACTTACATTACACGCAACGTACGAAAAGATGGAAATAATAACTTAGAAGTAAGTTTGATTACTTTCAGTTTATAATATATTTAAAGATTTCTTTAAAACGTCTTTATTTTGCTCTTTGACATGTTCGATGTGGACCCGTATTTCAATAACATCGCGGGAATTAGTGAATATTTTTTAAATTTATCGATAAAAAATGGTAAATTGAATTGGAATATGTATTTCAGATATTATGAAATGTGATAGATTTAATAAATGAATGATATTACAGGTAGGTCCATAAAAATATACACTATTTTGACGTGACTGCGGCTTGGCCGGTTAACCGGCCTACGGTGTCTGAGGACTCGATGCTTCTTGGCCGGAAAACCAGTCGCCATGTTTGAAGGCTGAAACTAATACGAGTCATTTGATTGGTCGTACTACGAAAATCAACCAATCATATTTGCCCTTGTATCATCGCTTGATTTTCTTTACTGACTGCGTTGGAACAAAACGGACGGTGTAAACAGCGGCAAATACGTTTTGTTACTCGTAGTATATCAGCTGTGTATCGTTTTGTATCGATACATAGACCCATGAATCGATAGTCGTATTGAACTGTAATGTATCGTGATACATCGATGTATCGGTGAATCGTCCCAGCCCTAGAATCTTCAGGTGTAATGACATGATGGGGCCGTGATATGATACATGTCCTGATACTACGGGTGTCGCTGTTCTTTCTTTTTGCAGATGAATCACAACCCTGAATAATTTGTTTCTAAATTTCAGATATTGATGATGGGATATTGTGGGGCTGAGTCACTGAAGGCAAGAGAGCACTGTGAATGTTACGACATTTAAAGCCAACCAGACAATACTACAGAATCTGCGCCAGCTGATTGTTGGACAGTTTCTGTTAATATTCACATGTTTAGAACTTGTCATGTAATGTATCGCGATACTGGGGTTGCAAATCAATTTATCCTTGGCCTCCTAACAGAAGCAGCATAATCTGATAGACCATTACACTGAATGGCCTACTATACTCATAATCATCAAGATTATTTGATGTCTTGAACATTAATATTGGTTCTTTCAACAGAACATGTACATCTATATTGGACATTAACATCCAAAACAAAAATCGCAGAATCTGAGACTTATAGATCCCCAACAAACTTAACATATTATCTTATTTTATCTCATCTTTAATAGAAGCTTGCGTATTCTTCGATCAGCTTTTTGTTATAATCAGAAGCGGACATGGCGGTGTCTAGTGAGGGTATAGATTTCTCCTCAACTAGCTCCTATCATCTCTTGCACTATGGCAGCCAGCCCTTGCAGTGAGCGTGACATGGCCACCTCCCTGACCAGGGCCCACTTGCACAAAACGATCTTAGCGCTAAGACTATTGTAAGCCTATGTTAAAGTATGGGAGTTAAGATCATCTTAGCGCTAAGATCGCTTTGTGCAAGTGGACCCTGATGGTTGACAGGACAAATCCAGCATTAATAAAGCCAATCCATTAGCAGTTACTGACACCTTAATGATCGCATTGTTATTTACAAAGGTCATCATACAGACACATATCTAAAACCACTTTGCTTGATGTTTTCTCCCGACTGCAAATGTGTTAAAGCAAGGTTGTCATATTGTCTGCAGCGATTTTTCAAATACTTGGGTGAATGAGTGGAAAAGTGACCTTGTAATCTAATGTGATTCTGTTATGGTCTCAAAAGGCTGAAAACAATGGTCTTTACAAATTTAGACTTGTTTTCTTGACAAACCAACAGGATCCATTCAGACATTAGTGGGTGAGTGGGTGAGTGAGTGAGTGAGTGAGTGAGTGAGGGAGGGAGGGAGCGAGGGAGTGAGTGAGTGACTGAATGAGTTAGTGAGCGAGAGAGGTTTTATGCAACTTTCAGCAGTATTCCAGCTATATCTTGGACACCACGAACAGGATTCAAAAGAAGTCTCTGTTGTGATGAGCAAACTTATAATTTAACAATGAGGCTAACCCACTGCCCTCACAGACATCAGGAACTGGATAAGGCTACCCCGTGCCCTCACAGACATCAGGAACTGGATGAGGCTACCTCATTGCCCTCACAGACATCAGGAACTGGATGAGGCTACCTCACTGCCCTCACATACATCAGGAACTGGATAAGGCTACCCCACTGCCCTCACAGACATCAGGAACTGGATAGGGCTACCTCACTGCCCTCACAGACATCAGGAACTGAATAAGGCTACCCCACTGCCCTTACAGACATCAGGAACTGGATAAGGCTACCCCACTGCCCTCACAGACATCAGGAACTGGATAAGGCTACCTCACTGCCCTCACAGACATCGGGAACCTGATGTATACCAATGAGTAAAATGAATGTTGATTTATTCCGCTGTGAGCAATATCCCATTAATATGACCCCCCGTAAATAACTGAGACTGGATCAGTACAACCACTGAACAATGACCCACTTGTTGTCAGACCGGATCCTCAATGAAATTGGCCATTATGACAAACACAGGCTACTCGAGGGGACCTACTCCCCACTGGTTTCACTGCTTACTTAGACACTGATGATACAAACTTTCAAACCCAGAACAGATTACACTCTTGTAGGTTCTCTCAGTCATGTCTATAATAGCTACATCTGTCCTTGAACATGACAGCAATTACAGAACAGAGTGTGTCATTTTTCCTCTTGAACATCATCTTGGGGATATCTGTAAATATCACATATCAGGCCACGCAGTGCATTTGGACATCTGAACATCTGGGTTGTGTGCTGCCAGCAACCGCTACCAGGAACCCACCTTCATCAGGATGCTATGACAAAGTGAAGGACAGCGGAGTGGGGTGTTCAGTTTCGTACACAAACAGAGTTGGAGATGGAGCCATCAGCCACTGATTGACTAGCTGCTCATCTTGTCTGTTTGTTGTTTAACGCCGCACTCGGCAATAATCGAGTCTGGACCAGACAATCCAGTGATTGACTAGCTGCTCATCAGGAGCACTCAGCAATATTCCAGCTATATGACGGTGGTCTGTAAATAATTGAGTCTGTACCAGACAATCCAGTGATTGACATCATCATCTGACCTGCATCAACCAAGTCAGGGAGCCTGACCACCCAATCCCGTTAGTCGCCTCTTACGACAAGCATAGTCGCCTTTTACAGCAAGCATGGGTTGCTGAAGACCTATTCTACCCTGGATCTTCACGGGTCGACCACAGAAGGATGGACAGACTAACCTACAAACCCCATTCCTATATCGAGCAAGCATGGGTTGCTGAAGACCTATTCTACCCCGGATCTTCACAGATCTTCTTGGGTCAAAACACAGAAGGATGGACAGACTAACTGACAGACAGACGGACCGATGAACTTCATTCCTATATCGAACTCCGTTCCTATATCCCCACTTCAGTGTGGGGGATAATAATAATCATGAACCTAGCTTGGCTTCTTGCACCTTTTACCTGGCTCACATCTTCACGACGTTTATAACAAGTGTCCTCCTAGAAACAATCAGAACTTGAAGGTTTGCACAGAGGTATCAACGTAGTCCTTTTAAACAATGGCCATCAACATGATGTTTCTGTGAGATCACTGTACCCTTAAACGTAATTGCAGCATTTGAGCGATGGCAAAATTACTTTCTGACAGGAAAGAAATTGAATGTAAAACTCAGGATTTCAATGATCATAGTCACAGAATACATAATTCATGATTGTGATTCATGATTCATAAATGTGATTGAATTGTGTAGAAAAAAGCTCATGGATGATGAAAATTTGTTGTCTGGCCTTTGGTATCTTGGCTACTAGCCCAACTGACATACGAACACAAAACACTGGCTTTCTGTTCTCCCTAACGGACAAGAGACAAATAGATGGACAACAGACAATGATGACAATTCAGATAAATCACTGGGTTAGTCAGTCAGTCCTGTCTAAAAGCCCCTGTTGCCTGACTATCAGGAGATCTCTTACTCGTGACAAAGTAGAAAATCTTTCATTATCATTTATCAAGATAAACATACAATGTATTTCCAAGTAGATGGAGCTGGTATCCTGTGCCAGGGACAAGACGGGGATGTTCTCAGCCCATCAATAATAAACACGTCCCTGCACCTTCTACTGCAGTTCTACTCAACCACTGGTGTCTGCCACAACCAAGCTCCACAATACATCACAAACTCTCATTTTCAGTCCTTGTTTGGAGGTTGCGCTGGCCCCAAGGGACTCAGTCTGAGACAGGGACTTGTATTTAATATGTCCAAGACAGATTTGTGTAGGCAAGTCTCTGCATAGTGGATCGGTAATGGCTAATTTTCACCCTTAAGAGCACACAAGCAAGAAGATTGGGTCATTTGGTCAGATTCACAATCACAGACTGTTTGGTGGAGAAAATTGGTATCTAAGAATGTTGTAACAATATTGAACTTGTGTCTGCAAATGAGAATCACATGCCTGCATCAGGAGATAAATTTCCCATTGATTACCATATACGGCTTAATTATGATGGGTCATACTGTGAAATGAGCACTTTCATAATATCCATCCTGTCGAGAAGGAATCTGTTTCGGTTGTAGTACAGGGGCAAGATTATCTGTAACAACCAGGTCAATCATTCATATCTTCTTTTCCCTGATCAGCACTATCCAAATTGCAGAAGTAGGATGGTCACGGTAACTATTATGTGTCATGTCATATGTCTGACCTTCCAATCAAGTACATAATTTAAAATGCATAAAACTTTTGAACAAATAAAGTACCCTTCCCCACCCCACACACTATGGATAAATATATCCAACCAATTGGATGGTTCTTACACAGGCACTGGGAACCTATTCTACTATCCATTCCTCTGGGATGGGTGGGATGGGTGGATGGGATCGATGAGATGGATGAGGTGTGTTGATGGATGAGATGTGTTGATGGATGTGTGCTGATGGATGAGAAGGATGGGGCTGTATGGATGGATGGGGATGTATTGATGGATAAATAAATGGTTGGATTGAGAATCTGAGATGATGAATGAACAAGGGTGATACATTTGGGCTGAAAGTGGCATTGTTGAAATCAAGTCAAAGTGGTGACCGTTTAGACACAAGCTGAAAGAAGTTCACAATACATCTCTTGCAACTGATTCAATCATACATGAAACTCAGTGCTAGGGTGCTAGTCAGAATCGTGGGGGGACTGAAAGCTATGGAGGTGCCTGAAATGTCATAATCTGTGTGCCAATGTCAACAACAATATTTATCTTACCTCAAAAATATTTGACGCTAATGTCCTTGTTTTTTGGGCTTGTGTGAGCATTTCCTGAACATGTTCAACAGCTTCCTTGGAATATGTCTGAAAGAAGCAACAACATGTTAAATACCAATGATTTGGGCAAATACAAGCACAACCAGAAACTTACTTATCTCCAACCTGTGAGTCAGTTTAATAAGGTAGACATTTACCATGTTAACAAAACAAACAAGCAATCAAATTGTCCAGACAGACCACAGATCATAGTCATTGCAAAGCTTGGATTCAAACTCATACCCAGAGAATCATGGAAGCTATCATATGTGAGTGAGTGAGTGAGTGAGTGAGTGAGTATGGTTTTATGCCGCTTTTAGCAATATTCTAACAATATCACAACGGGGACACCAGAAATGGGCTTCACGCACTGTACCCATGTGGGGAATCAAACCCAGGTCTTCAGCATGACATGCAAACACTTTATCACATGTGGTACATGCTCCTCTATCATATGTGATAAATGAAAAACATATGAATGTTTCATTCTGATAACTGTGTTCGAGGGTCATAGCTGTTACTGAGACGGTGTTGTGTTAAGATCCTGATGACAGAATTCATGATAGATATTTCAAGGAAACTTCAGGACCTTGAGGCAGTGTTGACAAAGCCATATGTTTTCCCTCTCTCTCTTACAAAGGCTCCTAAATGAGGCTGTAATCCTTGAACTTAAAACCTAACACCAGAAATGAATCATTATTCAAGTCACAAATCATTAAGTTTCCATGTTAACACGAAGTTCTTAAAACTTTGAAATTTATCAACATTAAGCCTATTTGTAGATTCAAAGCTGAAGGATTGCACAGAGGAGATTAAAACATTCATCTTTTTTGAAACATGTGGGGAATAAAGAAAATACATTCTCTGTGATATTTGGCCTTGACAGCCTTGTTGCTAAAGTAAACCCAACACTGACCAGCTCCACATAGGCTAAAACCCTATACCCTGAAACTAATCTCATTAGAACCTTTTACACCTGTGTGTGTGAAGATCTGAGGATATCTCCATCAGAGCCAGCATCAGGTGAAGTTTCTAATTGGCCAATCAGCATCATGGCTTCTCAAATTCAGTATGAGTGAGTGATGCATTCACACCTTATCTAATCTCCATATCTCAAAACAAAAAGCTATAATAGGTGAGTTCCAAATTCAAGAAAATAAGACCATGCTATTAAAGTGTTGTGGCTACTATATACCCTATATCCTTGGCATCTACACTGAAGAGGGTGTACCATTGGGGGCATATTTGTTCTTCGGCAGGCCTCAAGTTTTTTGCTGAGATCGAAATGTGAGAATAGAGGTTGCATAGAAATAAAGCCAAACTGTTTTAGAAAACTGACATCAGATTGACCCATGAACCCTTGCGTCCTTCATTTTGATTGGATTGTCAAAGTTGAGTGTCCACAGATCTTTACGTAGGTATCGCATCAAAGTGAAGGATCTGATTTAGATAAGATTGCCCAAATCCCAGACTACACACCACACAAGACATGTCATGAAAGTCCAGTCAGTGAGTGTGTGGGATCCCACTTTAATACATTAATAAATTGCATTTGATTAGCTAACCAAGCAATATCTTTTGTATACATGATTCCATAAACCTAGAAAGAAGCAGGCCATGCTCAATAGTGTACTTCAGTTTTCTGATTGGCTGACGATAGAGTGTGCAGGGCTTGCGTTAATCATTGCACTGAAACAATGTCACTGAATTTGTAACGTTGTCTACAAGTTTTTGTGTTATGATTAAAAAAGCAGTCTGTAAAGTTATTGTTGACTAATTTATTCATAGGAATTCACTTCAACATATTGTTTGCATTGATAGAGGTATTGATAGAGGTATAAACATAAATAGAAGAGGTTAAGGATTTACACAGTGTTCACACCAGTTTCTACATTTACACCTCCATCAATGAAAAACAATGTTAAAGTGAATTCTTACATACTCCTTAGGGAGCTGTAACAGCCCCCTTTATGGATCTTCCCATTCAAGTCTCAATCTGACACACAAAAATACCCGAAAACCTGACATTAATATCAAATCACAATGAGAACGTACAAACTCAGCCAACACTCATTCAAAAGACCATAGTCCAACTAGCAACAGATTGAGCACCTTTAACTTAACATTACATAATGAATTTATTTTTGTTTCAGACTTTTATCAGCTTCTGGGACAAAGGTCATAAATAGTTTAATATTTTTTCTTTATCATTGATCATGTAAAGTGATAGTCAGCCAGAAATTGATGAGTATGAGTGAGTGAGTGATTTGGGTTTATCGCCGCTTTTAACAGTATTCCAGTTATATCACGGCGTGTCAGCTTAATGTGGGAGGAAAGCCCGAAGTGATGCAGGTCTCAGACGTTTACCACTTGGGTGAAACCCACGAGCACGGGTATGGTGCTGACAAACCTAGAAACAGAATTGCGAAACTGCAGATGATTTTCTATAGTGTCAGAGCTGAATTTTGTGCATAAGGCATGCACTGCGGTTGAAAGATCTAACATATTTCAGAATTTCCAAATTTGCCACATTGCACCACATCTGTCGTTACCGCTGCTCAGTGATCGAAGTAACCTGTCACTGTGGAAGATAAGAGATACAAATTGAGTGACAAAAATTGTACATCCAAATTTCTTCACCATTCATCTACAAATCATGGGCGTAAGCTTCTCACAAAGTGATGTAAATAGCTGAAAGTACACATATGATCATGTACCGTAGCCAACATACTCAAACCATATAATCCTAAACCATCGCAACCAATTTTGGAGGGTAAACGAAGTACAAAATGTGTCCATTAGATGCTGAAGGACCACAATTGAAGCGATCGATACAATTAACTCTCCGGGATTGATCCGAAGGTGGGGAAGTGATGCATATAGGGGGCGCTTCAACTGGGTGGCTCATCTCAGACGCTCTTGTAGCCAGCTGCGTCAATACGGCTGTAGCTTGATTAACGCGATAGGAATTACATACAACACAATATTGACTACGCTCAGATTATTCCAAAAGACGGCCTGATATTCATACTGCTTACAAAACATTCTGAAGGGGTGTGTCGTGGATACAAGAACTTATTATTCTGAAGATGCATATAGTACTCTCGGGCATTGGTATGCTCACAGAATGTCTGAAATTCGATTAAGCACTGGAATTTTTTTTTTCTTTTCTAATGCTTGCATTAGTTTTGTAAAGAACATGATTTATCAATGATAAGGTCTTATGGTGCTCCAGACAGACATTTGCATCAGCTAGGGTTATAAATTTTAAATTCTTATCTCACTGAATGAAGTTTATCCCGATTTACATGGTTACCCTTGCACAAAGTTTTGTGGAGTGAAGGTACTCAAGGGACCCCATACAATGTTCCAGGTCACACGTTTACACTGGTCGGATCCAGGGGTGGCGAACCTCCTAAGCGCCACCTGGAGTCCGATGGGATATGGGTAAAGAACCTCAGAAGTCAAGAATGTTTCCTGTAAATTGCACAGAAAATATGCAATACACTTGGCATGTAATAAATCTGCAGGTTCTGTCGCCTGTAGGGCTCTCAAAAATGATCTTGAAGTACTACTTCAACAGTGTAGAGACCTACACTTATCTGATTCGAAGTACAGGTGTCTCTACAAAACAAAGTCCATGGCAAAGCAAAGCACAGAAGATACATGCAGATCATGGCTCTGCTAGCATGTCATCAACTCCGGAGAAACCTGCAAGATGGCATAAAACGGGGTATAACATCGCGGTCAAGATCATAGCACTAAAACGGCTACATGCATGCACACAGGCAGTTTAACATGGATACCCTACTCTGACACAATAACCTGACTTCGAGCCGACCAGTCCTTGTTTTATCCCCCAAATTCCGATTACTAGGCAGGGTAACAAGAAGAACCATCCTTAAATATCTTTTGGTATGACTCTGCGCGGATCTAACCACCATACCACAGAGGTGGTCGTGCTAGGTTAAAGAAAGGCAGGGGTGTGTACATTCTAATTTGATTCTCCAAATGTTACCTTCCCTTTGCTTCCAATCATTCCTTAACCAGAACTATACCTGTGGACCTAAATACCCAGTGCCTCCTGCCTCTGCCAACAACAAAGAACGTGGGCAGCAGTGAGTAATGACTTTTTCTGCTATCTGTACACTGTCAGATCCCACAGCAGATAGATCAAATAACTTGACAGCACATTTTAAAACAGCTTCATGGATGCTACAGAAAGTTCAGACACACACAGACTCGGGCACAAGCCTCCTACAGTCGTCTGGGTAGATGATCCTGTAAGTGCTTGTTGAGTTTATCATGGGATAATTATATCATGAAAATAGTCGGAATTCCTTCCCTGGGGGAGACAATGGGGACTGATGAGATGATATGATTACTCAAGGAATACAGCCATTGACACCGTTGTTGACATACAAAATATACCTCATGCACCTTCCAGTATAAACAAACATGCCCTAGGAACCTTCCTGTATACACAAATATACACCAGGTAGCTTCCTGTATGCACAAATATAAGCAAGGTACCTTCCTGCATACACAAATATACCCTAGATACCTTCCTGCATACACGATTATATCCTAGGCACCTTCCTGTGTACATAAATATACCCTAGGTACCTTCCTGTATACATAAATATACCCTAGGTACCTTCCTGTATACATAAATATACCCTAGGTACCTTCCTATATACACAAATATATCCTAGGCACCTTCCTTTATACATAAATATACCCTAGGTACCTTCCTGCATACACAAATGTACCCTAGATACCTTCCTGCATACACGATTATATCCTAGGCACCTTCCTGTATTCATAAATATACCCTAGTGTGGCAATATTAATTGCGCTTAAGTCAGGATATTAGGTATAATAAAAACAGCAGCACCGTACACATATTGCCAATCCAGGGTACATACAGTAAGGTACCTGAACTATTTTTATGTCATACCATGATAACTTATAAAAGCACTTGATGTAGATCTAATTATTATAAGATAACTTAGTATAAATGTTATCCCATGATACCTGTCCCAGCAATGACAAGATTCTGTCAACACAATCAAGTTCATCTCAGAGGTGGTAAAAAAAATGTCTTTGAACAAATATGGATTGAGATAGTGACCTGGGGTTAGATCCACTTGGAACAGTCTTTCAGTTTCACAATATTATACATTTATGCTGCAGGAAAGCCTGAGTGATGCAAGTCACAGAAGGTTACCACTTGGACAGACCACAAGCATAGACATTGTGCCGACAGACAGACCGTTGGGATCACAAGGTTGAACCTGGACGAACCCATGAATGGCACATCCTGACAGGCAAAATATGCAATGCTGCACAGTTAGATTTCCATTTGGATTCAGACAAAAGATTCAAAAGGATAGTGAAAATGTATGAAAATGTATGCAGATTAGAACACCAATCAGCACTAATGTTGTTTCTGGACATTTTGTGTTTCAATAGTGTTTGGCATTGATGTCACAAACAATGAAAACATCACTGCTCACCAATAGACTGTCACGGACCATGTCCACCCCCTTACAAATAAAAGCTGTACCACAGCCCTATGACAGGTGTAAGCCCACGCCAGGGAATGCAAGTTACAAGTGTGACAGTTATGTAAATACTTCAAACACCCACATCCTGATAGGATCTCAGAATGTATACCTCACAGAAAAGGCTGTTAGAGCACCCACTGCTCCGAGCAGGAAGGTAACAGAATATCTGCCTGGGGCCAACTTCAGCATACCAAGTTACAGCAACAGGACATTCAGACTTCCATAAGTGTGAGGGAATGGTAAACAACTACCTTGCTGCTACCCAAACTAGAAATTCAATCTAAGCACAGCAAGAACTTGGATAATCAAAGTTTCATGTCCTGTAAGTCTAACCTAGAACACGGTAACAGCTTTCCTGCCACTAAGTCTGCTGTTTGTCATGCTTTTTCAGGCCTGATGAGCAAGACGTAATCAGATTGTCTGAGAGCAAGAAGTAATCATATTGTCTTCTCGGAACCACCAGTCAACACCCCAGAAGATTGGGTTCACCATCAACCAAATACTTCGCCCTTAATCTTGTCTCCTTGCTGAGCACTCTTGGTCAGCATGTCCACCGTTGGGTGTCCAGTCTCTTGCCCAATCTACTTGCCCTGTGTTCCTCGAACCCCCAGGCGCACCAGCTTGAGTGGAGTAGCGTGTGTGTATTTTGCAACACCAACAGATTCGATAAGAAAAGCTGAGAGTACATTAAGTATCATCAATAGCAGTTCGGAGTCGGATCAATGAGAGAGTACTGTCATGCAAGGAAGATACATGCAATGTGGACGCCCTCCACATCACATGGGTCACTCACTCTATCAACCACTGTCACTGTCACTAAATAAAGTGATACAGGTCTTTGACGTTATACCATTGGGATGAAAAACAAAAGCACAATTATGGTGCTGACAAACCAAGAAATATAATCAGGGTGAATCGGAATTTGAATCCAAGATCATTTGTTTTGTTTGTTTGTTTGTTTGTTGTTGTTGTTTTTGCTGTTTCATGCCACACTCAGCAATATTCTACCTGTATGACGCAGTCTGTAAATAATCAAATCTGGACCAGAAAATCCAGTGAGTGGCATCATGAACATTGATTCATGCAATTGGGATACGATGACATGCATCAACCAAGTCAGCAAGCCTAACCACCCAATCCTGTAAGTTGCCTCTAACGACAAGCAAAGCCGCCTTTTACGGCAAGCATGGGTTGCGTAAAACCTATTTTACCCCGATCTTCACTGGTCTAAGATTTTATGTTACAGGCACATGTCCTAATGGACACAACTCTACAGTGAATGGGAGCCGCAGTCACATAGTGTACTGGAGTTGAAAAAAAGCCTGTATCTGAAATCCACACAATCGTGCTGATAATTTCGCTCAGATATATGTTTTCTTTTACAATTCTCATCCTACTTCCCAAACTAGAAAGTTGAAATTGCCTTTTTCAACATGTTTAATGAGTTTGCACAAAAATTCTCCAATTGGTTTGACAATAATTTATTTAAGGGGCTACATGAGAAGGGAAGATCTATGGAAGCATCAGTGGGTTGTTGTTCAGTACAACAAATTTCCGCAGCATGTTGGAAGGTGTCACAACAGCAGCCAGTCTCAAAGCAGGAGACTGGACTGTTAATTGCTGAAGTGTCACGGGAGTAGCCACACTGAAACACCACTAACCTGGATGGTGTGAAGAGTTTTTGAAGGTCACCTTCTGAACCAGTTATGTGGCGAAACATCTACGTAACTTAATTAATCAAGAAACTTCGAAAACCTCTGCCTTTAGTGTGACAGGCAAACACCTTAACCAGTAAGCTAACCCCACTGCCCCATGCTGCCAAGAGAAATATGTACAGGCTTTGAAATATTTAGATTTGTTTGTTTGTTTGTTTGTTGTTTAATGCTGCACTCAGCAATATTCCAGCTATATGATGGCGGTCTGTAAATAATCAAGTCTGGACCAGACAATCCAGTGATTGACATCATGAGCAATGATCCATGCAGTTGAGATACAATGACATGTATCTACCATTTAGCGAGTCTGACCACCCGATCCCAATAGTCGCCTCTATGGAAGCACAGCTGCCATTATGCAGAACTGCAACCCTGTGAGGGGATTCCACTTAGTGTTTGACGCGCTGTGCAATTTCAACAATCGTGACGACTGGCCAACACCCAGTCTATCTGCTTCTGCCTCGGATTCTGTCATACATCTTCTTTTTACCGTCTGCTCATCCATTTGATTATCGTATCCACAACTTATGTCACCTTAGTAACAACACTGCAGATGCCTTCAGTTGTTTACTCAGGGGATTAATCCCTCACAGGCATTTACTGTGTGGAATAGGGCTGAGGACAGCTGGTGTTTTAATACCCATAAAACACCCAAACAGGATATTCGTAACAAAACACTAGTTACCAATTGTTAATTGTTATTGTAATTATTCACAATGTCAAGATCAAAGGTCATTGTATGCAATGTTGTTATTTTTTAGGATTAACAGAAATAACAGAAACAGTAAATGTCTAACGGCTAAGAATCACAAGATAGATAAATGCAGCAAACGAATCAGCCAATGAAAAACAGTTGTCACCGGTGCACTGGTAGCTTAGGTCACGCCCCAAAACAGGTCTGTTCTGGAGCCGATTATGGAGCGTGTGATTTCAGCACTTTCACTTGGACATTTCTCTTGGAAATTGACTAAACGTATTTAAGAAAATTGATAATCGCAAAAAAACAAATCACAATGTTTTTCACTTTACTTTCAAAGGCCAATCAACAAATGACATAATGAACACACATAAGAAAAGCACAGATCACACAGTGATGAAGTTGCCTGACCAAGGTTCTGTCCACAGGCATTTAATCTGTCTCAATCCTTGAACCACATTATTTTCCCTTTTGCCCAGGCGTTACTGTGATTAAGCAAGTCTAGATTTTCCGCAGGTTTAAGATCTCCGAACTCACTGAGGCCCCTTTCCATTTGAAAGGGAGTTGTTTGTTTTTGTCAAAATTATATACTTTCAGTGACTATGCGTTAGTCTAATGGCGATTCTTGACCCCAAGCAGGAGTATCATAGTCTATGAAACTCCCAGACGAGTACAACAAATTGTCTGTGATGATCCCAATATCAGTGCTAAAAGTCTACACAGCTTCTGAGTGGATCAGGCCAAACCCCTGGGGCTGATCACAAGACTCGCTCCTTTTCATCCACCAGCACCCGATCAATGCAAATGGCCGACGACTGTTCCTGCATGCATCTCTCCATGTCTCCTCCCTTGCAACATGCACATAAAGTTGACAGCCTGTGTCATGCATGTTTGCATGTCAGCACGCATGTTGTCTGAAGGCCAGTCGGGGCAGCCAACTCAAGTAAGCAGTAATCAGCATCATGGTCTGGCATTTCAAAACAATTCCATGGGTAATCAGTATGGCAGCCGACATGTTATTGTCTTGATGAAAGATGTTGAGGTGATGATGAAGGCTAGGCCAGGGTTACAAACAGTGACACATTCATACTCCTCGGAAATAAGCCTTTAGGTGCACAAGGACTTTTCCTTATGCTTTTTTAAGGTGAAGGCCATCGTGTTTCAACAGAAAATTTGCTTAAAGGTCCTAGGATGGAGGTATTTTTATTTGTAGACTTCATTTTTTCATTCAGGAGGCCTTTTCAATATAGATTGAAATTTAGGGTCCTTTCAGGGCCAGAATGCCAAATTCATGGTCTTTTCCAGAATGGAAATTAACCAAGAATGTCTCCAAGCCTAAATAGTGATAACACTTAGCATTAACACCCCTAAAATTCTAAAGCCCTTAGGATACTTTTAACATAAACAAAACTGGTCTGGGGTGGCAGGGTTGATAGTTTCGATCCCTGCTTTTCCAACCTGCGTGAGTCTTGCAGGAACAACTATCCATGACAATAGTAAAAAGAGGACACAGTTGGGTCACATATTGTGACCACCTGATCCCCAAAGTGATTGAATTCACGAGGTCCTCAGGACATACTCAGCCCTTAAAACCCCATGCAAACATGTAGTTATTTAGTTGGGATCAAACATACACACTGAGATGAGGTAGGGGATAACAAACATTGGCTATACTTACATGTGACTGTGATAAGAGCTCCTTCATAATAAACTGGTCATAGATCTCCTTGCCGGTTTTGATTCTTTCTTCATCTGTTTCTAATTTTTCAAACCTTTTTATCTGAAATACCAAGAGAAAAACATAAATGTACATTCAAAACAAAGCCAATACATAAAACACATACATTCAGAGTCAAAGGGAGATAATGCCAATACTACCACTGCATACCAGGATAAATACAAGAGGGTAATTATTATTGAGAAACAGGAAAGGAAATTATGGTAGTCTGCTTACAACTCACATAAGTTTGTAGATAGTGTCAATATAAGTGCAAAAAGTATTGTTTGTTTGTTTGTTTGTATGTTGCAGCTATATTCCACCTATATGATGGCACTTTGTAAATAAATGGGTCTGGAACAAACAATCCAGTGATTGATATCATGAGCATCGATCGAAACAACTGGTGTAAAAAGTACTGAGTTAACAGATACAACATTGTTTTGTTCTTTAACGCCACACTCCAGCTATACAAAGGAAATTAGTAATAACTGGGTCTGGACCAGACCATCCAATGATTGATATCATGAGCATCGTTCCACGTAATTGGGATGTGATCAGATGCAAGCAAATACTTCACCGAGCCTGACCACCTAATCCATTCAGTCATTTCCTGGGGTCCTATATTATTACCAGATATTCCCCCAGGTTCTCAGGTAATGGTCTGATTGAAAGTGGTACTTTCTACCTCCAAGACCATTCACAAAACACATATTTAGCTTTACTATTTTGCTTCTAGCTTATTCATCTTAACTTTTATTTCAACTTTCAAAGAATATAGCTATGATGGTTGAACTAATTGAAAAACTTGCTCAAGATAAAATCAATGTTTTCTCTTGATGTTTTTATGACAATGATCTTTATCTTTAGGGCTACCGCAAAACAGCAAGGCACAGCAAGAATGGGTTTTTACCAATAATTGGAATTGAACCCAAAACTGCCACCATTAAGATATAAACAGACATTCCTCTGTCCTATATTGCTACCCCAGAAAACTGTTCGCAACAAGATCTGACAGCCCAGTAATCAAAATAGGGCAACTCTTTGTGGGTTTCAACACTATGAAAACACATGCAAAGCTTCATTAACTATGGTTACATTAAGAAATGCAAGATAACAGTGATATATTACACTGTGACATGCCTGGACTACTGCAACATCAATTCTCAAGTAGCCAAGCAGCCATCATCTACAGAGATATAATGAGTTTGGCTGTGGCTGACAGCCGGACTATCTAACTAACACAGGCCACACTGTCATTAAAATGCTGTCACTCAAGGCACCTGACCAGATATGGGCCTTCTGATTCTAATATAGGCAGTAATTATGCACAATTTGGTACAAAACATGCAAGTATGAGAGCATGAATTGACAAAGCTGGAAGTATATTGATTTCTGCGAGTGTGCATCTCCACTGGCATCAGTACTGTACAGACAGCTGGGACAGCAGCACAAGCCCGCTGCTGCCGGCATGAAGGGACTACCCTTGCACGAAGAGCAGGAGGAGGTGGTCAATTCAGACAGCTGGCATGTGTCCAAACTCCCAGCTCTCCCCAGGAGATGGCTTCCATTGGGTGGTCTTGGTTTCAAGATGGGTTCATGTGCACCATCTTCTGGTCAGTATAACAGAAACAAACCCAGAGTGAGTGAGTGAATCCACTCTGTGGAGGCAGGATAAGAAATCCGCCAGGTTATGAAATGTGGCACCCATTTTTGTCAGCTCTTACACAAAGTGTTGCAGTTAGAAGGCTGGTTTGTGTAGTTTGGTCAGCGAGCGAGTGAGTGAGTTGGGTTTAATGCAGCTTCAAACAGTATTCAAGTCATTCAGTATTCAGCTCAACGTGGGAGGAAAGCCAGAATGATGCAGGTCTCAGATATTTACCAGTTTGGTGAAGCTACAAGCAGCTTGTGCTGTTTAGTGAGGATAGAGGATGGTTAGTTGAGTCAAAATTTTGTTTGTTTGTTGGTTGGTTGGCTTACGCCGCACTCAGCAATATATCAGCTATATGACAGCGGTCTGTAAATAATCGAATCTGGACCAGACAATCCAGTGATTGATCTCATGAGCATCGATCCACACAATTGGGATCGATGACATGCATCAACCAAGTCAGCGGGCCTGACCACCAAATCCCGATAGTCGCCTTTCACAATAAGCATAGTTGCCTTTTACGGCAAGCATGGGTTGCTGAAGACCTATCCTACCCCGGATCTTCACGGGTCAGTTGAGTCAAAGATGCAAAATATGCCATGCCACTGCTGAATGGAAAATATGGTTGCAAATTTCTGCAACCACCATTAATTCTAATTCACTGATAGAGATGAATGTGGAAAAGCCTCAAAGAGAAAAATGACACATTCAGTTGCACTAGTTCATAATAAACTGTCAACTAAATGTGATGAGATTTCAGAAGGTTATGAATGAGCCATTAACTATCATTATGATGTTTCATAATGTTTTTCATGTTTTGATACTCCTATAAAACAAGAGGCAGGAAAATAAACCAATGTTGCAGCCCATTCCAAACCTGCCTCGACAAGTAACATACAGCAGATGATACAGTCCTGCACATCAGCCTGATGTTTACAGCCAAGGCATCAACGTCATGGAACCCATGTGACTGGTCACAAGACCAAGTATTGCTGGGGTTATTTTGGGATGAAAATGGGCCAGTACTAGCTCCACAATACATCAGGAACAGCATATTGACCAGCGCCTATTATAGAATCTGTGTCCAGCTTAATCCTCGCCGCTATGTATAATTTGAATGACCTGATCAATAATATCACTCTGACAGATCGCTGTACACATTCGGAGTTCAGTCGTCCAGCGCCATTCTTGCCCAGTCTATATTTGGGGAGGCTGCAATGAAGCATATTCATTGGCTTCCCTTGTACATGTTAATTCCTAACTTGAAGAAGTAGATTTCAGGCACATTCCACTATTCATCAGATTCCCTAGCTTGTGTAGCCGTTAACAGTTGAGTGTGTTGGGCTTAATGCTGCTTTGAACAGTGTGTCAGCATAATGTGAGCGCAAGGCATATAGTGACACCTGTACTCACTTTGGTGAAATCCACGCACAGGTATGGTGCCAATAGACCAAGAATCTGTCAGAACAGAAACCAAGCAGAGCCTGGCGCAATTAGGGGACATAACTCTGTCAAGATGACTGCAGAACAGTAGGCATGTCAGACCATTAGATTAATATTTATAATAAATTACCTTTTCAACTCTTTACAAATTCAGTAACTTCTATACGAATCTTCACAAGCATGAATACGCCTCAGTGGTCTAGGGATACAGCGTTTGACCGAAAAGAGGAAGGTTGGTACGAAAAGATGAATAAGGATCGTAACTTTCACTCTGCGCTGAACATTATAGTGATGAAATAAGGCGTGGTTGGCACAGGTGAGTATACTGTGTGGGTTTCCATATCAAACTGCAGCATGGTATCTCAGTGGGCTAGCACTATAAAAATCGGCTTTAGTTCAGACTAGTACAAGCAGCAAAACATACACACATACACAAACACACACACACACACACACACACACACACAGAGAGACATACAGAGACACACAAAGATGCACACAGAGAGATGCACACAGAGAGACATACACAGAGAGACACAGAGACACACAGAGACATAGAGACACACAGAGATGCACACAGAGAGACGCACACACAGACATACACAGAGAGACATACACAGACACACACAGAGAGACACACACAGAGACACACAGACGCATCACTATACTAAACCTCATTTCACCTCACCTAATATGCAAGATATGAAAACAATATCTAAAATCATCCTACTTTTATGGATTATCCATCACTGCCACGACAGCTGCAAGAGATAGTAGGGGCAAAGCAAAAGGCTGGGGAAAGATCATCAATAAGATCCATAAGTAAATTTTCTTAAATAAAAATGGTCTTCCTATTCAGATCAACCCTAGAGTGCTCCAGTAGACATGAAGCATGGGTCCACAGGTACAAATCCTGGACCATCTGCATCAGACTATGTAGGACTCGTCTGCAGCAATTGCCTGGCAAATTAAGTTTAAGTGTAAGCTCATCGTAATATCCCGCCCCAAAATAGAAGTGAAGTGCCGTGCTGCAGTCAGCTTGTTGATGGGTTGACCCGGACTGGATCCGGAGAGGGCACACTGTCTCCATTAAATAAAACATAACACTGTAGGATGAAGAGCACCAACATGAGATCCAATTGAGAACCCTTCAAACGCAAGGAAAGCCCATCAAGCTCCAGGTAGGTAACTCAATGATAGCAGATGACAGGAATGCATGGTGTCAGTGTACAGATCCTCCTCATTTATCATTAAAGAAAGACAAAAGGGTTGATTAAAGGAGTGAGTGAAAGATGTGAACCACCTGCACTATCACCCCCAATTGACTAGTTTACACCGACACCACACTATCCTTAAGACCACCCCAAATGAATGGTTTACATTAACAATAATCTATCCTGAAGACTAACCCTAATGAATGGTTTATATAAACACCACACACTATCCTAAAGACCACCCTTAATGAGTGGTTTAAATAAACACCACATTATCCCAAAGACCATCCTTAATGAGTGGTTTACATAAACACCACACTATCCTAAAGACCACCCTTAATGAGTGGTTTAAATAAACACCACACTATCCTTAAGACCACCCTTAATGAGTGGTTTACATAAACACCACACTATCCTAAAGACCACCCTTAATCAGAAGGCTCAGGTTACAAGTCGGTTCCCAGGAGACCCACCCTTAATCAGAAGGCTCAGGTTACAAGTCGTTTCCCAGGAGACCCACCCTTAATCCAATGAGCTACACTGTCACCGTACAGAGGTCTCCCAGGAGTTTAGAAACCATTCAGTGCCTGTTTTCTATAACACATAAACAAATAATTAAGTGTAGCTCTCCGATCCGACACCATTGTGCAACATTCTTACACACATTTAACCTAAAACGGATTAATTCATCAATAATCCTATCAGCTGATTTGTTGCTATTTGAAAAACTAAGCACGAAATACAAAACACATGGT